GATATATTGTGTTAGTCAGTTCAAGAATCTTGAACACCATATTCAAGTGTCTTCCTCATTATTTATGAGAGGTATGTATCCAGATAGGCCATAGCAAGTCACATTTGCGAGTGAATTACTATTTAGCATTATACATTACACATTCAAAAGGCTTTGTCCTCTCCAATCCTACTAATATCAAAACCTCATGGGAAGCAGCAGTACCTATCTAACTGTATAGGTAGTATTTAAGCTAAATCATAGCTTCTGGGCCCTCATACTTAACGAACCCCCCGATTACCATGAGTGGTACCTTGTCGATGGCCCGGTGTAAGAAGCGGTAGAAATCCCGATTTTGAAGAATTGTCAGGTGATGCCGGTCGTGGGTCTTGGGACTTCCCAGGCCATGGATTTGCGCCAGGAAGATCCTCCGAGTTTTCCTCTTTGATAATATCTGCGGCCTGTTTATTCATCGTTGTCAATACCGGTACCTATTTATTGCTTCATGTAGAGCGGCATAAGTCATACCTTTTCACCAATAGCATATATTACGGCCTGGATATGTGCACCAGGCAGCAGCGGTATAACGCCTGCATCTACGACTCTCAGGTTCCTCGTACCATATACTCTGAGCGACGGGTCTACTACTCCACCGTAGGCCAATGGCAACATTGAGGTCGTGCCGCTTAGATGAAATCCGGTCGTAATCTTCCTCCGCATCGTCTCGTCGAGCGCTGTCTTGTTTCGTGCTTCCTCAACACCAAAGCCTGGCGGAGGCATTGGCTTTAATGCAGCCATTGGAGGCGTCTGGATAAGGCGGTCGTTGAAATCAAGTCCGAGGAGTAGCAGCTCGCAGTCGACAGAATGTGAACAAAACCTCGGATTAATAACGGGCTGAGAGTTTTCAAATATAGACGACGAGTTCGCTAGGACTGCGCCTCGAGAGAACGACTTCATGGCGCTTATTGCCAGTTGGCCCCAGGATGTCGACATTACCTCGTAAGCTGGCGTGTCAGTTCGCATGAGAAGGGATAATAACTCAGCTTGCTGTGCGGCATATCCTGTACGAAGGGTTGTATCGTACGAAGACGGCAGGTCGTTTGCTGCATTCGCTGCGTCGTCCAGAACCTCTTGAACACGATCGGTTATCCAACTTAAAATAGGCAGAGCAACGGCATTTACCATCGGGGCCGTCCAAGGTCCTATTACGTGTAAGCATTTGTTGGAAATGGGATACTTTTAGTAGACGAACCCGTGCGATTGGCTAGGTATTCCTCTCGAACAACATCCCGCATACCTCCTACAATATCCCATGCCGAAAACACATCTGGCGAGGCATCTTCTCAATGGTTTAGAAGAATGAGCTAAAGTTTTAGAAGCGGATAGCACTCACAGTCATAAACAGGTTCCAGGGTAGGATGATCCTGCAAGTTGCTTCCTACTCCAGGTAAATCTATCACGACATCGACTCCCAGATTACTCAGAAGGGTTTCCGGTCCAATGCCGGATATCTGCAGTAAGACTGGCGAGAAAATGGAGCTAGCAGCGAGAATGACTTCCTTCTTACATGTGGATGTGATTCTGTCAGCTGTCTCGTTGGTAGCAAACTACAATATCACATGGGTTTAGTATTGACCTTACGAGTAGTTCTGATGGCGATGCAGATGCTTACTTCAACGCCAGTTACGTTTAAGCCAGGAACACCATGGGTAATAGTTGAATTTGGAAATCTTCCGCCACCCACACCATGGAGGATACGGGTAACAGTGTGACCGGTGACGAGATGTAGGTTCGGACGTTCCAACACGGGATCGAGGTATGCAGTGCGCGCATCGGAACGAGACTGGTTTTTCGCCGTCATGCTACTAGGGACTATGCAAGCACCCGTAGCATTCCCACTATTGGGGTCTTCATTTGCGGGTATCCCAAGCTTTTGGATGCCATTGAGGAAGTTGTCTACGTTTCACTCAATTAGTACGGGAACCGATGAGGTGTGGTTACGACATACAAGATTGGTTATAAAAGTAGTTTGGATAACCAACTTCGATTGGTCCCTCATGGCCATGCTTGCTGATAGCTAGATGGGAGGCTATAGGGATATCTCGTGTCGATTTGTTATCGACCTGGGTTGAATAGTTCTCGGACTGCACATCTTACGCATGAGCTCATCTAGTCCGACTTGGGAAGACAGGTAGCAAGGGGCAGGTAAGGAAATCATGGAGCATCTTAACTCACTTTCCGAAAGTACGGTAAAAGATCCATCCATCCCCAACCGGGGTTTCCAAGATGTTCCCATGCGTCGAAGTCTGCCGCTGAGCCTCTCGTCCAGACAAGACCATTGACTATCGTGCTGCCGCCGACGGCCTTTCCTTGGGTAAAGACTCGAGTTGCTCCGTCAAGGAACTTCTGCGGCGCCGTTTCTAGCTTTACCTCATATCTACGTGGATCTTCAAGTCCAATATTCCCGGGTATCGAAATATCTTCGGCGCGGTCATCACTAAACAGAATGCGTCATTAGTTAAGGAGGATTGGGTGATAAAGGAGGAAAGCGCCCCCTAAAACATGAATAAAGACCCCGAAACATACAGGTCTCTAGACTCGATAACCAGTACGGATACTATCATACGCACATTAATTCTCTGGTCGTTTTCACCGAGTTGAATGTCTTAAAAAGCTTACCTGACACATTCTCCGAGAGGCGATTTGCAACGACAAGCCCACCTATTCCTGCACCAACAATAATGTAGTCATAGCTATCTTGGAGCGACAGGGAGCCATCTATATCAGGTAAAATGCGTACACCAGACGCGAACGGCAGCAAGAAGCTGCTGGTAAAAGCAAGGCCGGCTATGGCGGGTTTTAGCATGATTCAAGTCTTATGAGGGAATGGATATTCGAAGCAAAGGGGTACCATGAAAACGAAAATCGCGACGCAGTCGGTTTTTATCGTCAAGAAGTCGTTGTTGTCAAGATGCGAAGCAGTGTTTAGTTATGTGGGAGATCGAGCGCGTTGTCAGGTTGGCGGCTCGGTAAACAAACACACGGTCCGGTACGAGGACCATGACAACTGGCTTGTATCGTCGGCCTGACTCTTATCTGATTCATACATTTTAAATAATATCATCATCTTTTGTGAAAATAACGAGTTTACATGGTTAGGTAATTAGGTATTTATTCTTTGCACCTACGAGTTTGCTCCGTTTCTATCAAGGGCGCGTTATGGCTACTTGAATACTACTACTCTTAACTTTAGATGTTGATTTCACTTTTAGGTAGAAGTACAACATGTAACTCATAATCTTTCATATTATAAATAACTAGCAATTGTCTAGATACGTCAAAGCTTGGGATATAAGTGTCGGTTCGATCTATATTTCGCATGTTCACTTAAGTGTAGCTAGTCGAAATTTGAATAGCTTTAGGTACTGATGAGATATTCGACTACATTACTAAATCATCTTCGCCTTTTTAAATTGAAGGTTAGTCAAATACCTAAGCTAACTTTTATTGCTTTACGGGTAGTTTTAGTCAATGTGTATTTACAAATCCTCGACTATCACTATTTCTCTAAGTCAGGCCTCTATGATATGGCGCCGAGTTATGAATTCTTAACCCGGCAAGTCAATGGCCCATGATTATTGAGAACACATAATTTCTGCAAGGGGTTGGAAGTGCGTTATATTATTGCGTTGATTCATTTTAAGACATTCTCTCGTCAATCTTATGATTATAATTATATCTAGCATTAAACAATAATAATGTATTGGCTATAGTACTTCATTTACAAGGTAAATGCAAGCATGGAAACATCAAGTATTGTGCGAAAGACTAAACATAGTTGATCGAGTGTGTCTAACTATATTCGGAGAAAATACCATATTATCTGACATACTTACGAACACGATCTCTATTTATGTCGCGACAATTTAAGAAAAAGGGAGAGAGAATGGATGAGATCTTGCCCATAATTAAATCCGGGGTAATGATGCAGTATTGCAGGCGGCGAGAACTGAGCCATTTCTTTAGCCGTGATAATTGCATAAAAATAACACTACCCCAGCTGTGGGGAGGCCTCTTATTCGGCAAAAAGAATTCCTAGGTAATGAGTATAAGACAAGAAAGGAAATCCGATGGGTGTCACCTCCAAAGAAAAAAAAATTTTACCTTTACTTTTGATGTCACAACTAGTGGGTCGAGACTACGACCGCAAATTGAAAGGTTTGGAGTAGAATTATAGGGGACGATCGGAGGAGAATACCTTAACCAGCCGATAGCGGTCAAGTACCTAGCCGGGACTTTAGCGCAAGTATCTAAAAAGTACCTGCCACGGCATGGGCATAGGTATTAGTGCATACCTTATCGGTTGTTTATCGTACCCGTACCCGTGTCTGAATAACTTGAGTCACTGGAATTTAAATTGTCCATGTTAATAAGTTCAAGTCCCTTCTCTCTGCCTTCAAAAAAAATCTACAAGGCAAATCTAGTTTTCTTAGCCTAAACTTGAAGAAATTGGAGATATTGATATGTGGTGGTAGTGTGTTCCTTCGTCAAACATTCGACGGTCCAAGATGCTCTGTGCGCTATGACAATGCGACTCATGGCCTGGAAGAGGGCAATTTCAAACTTGAATGTGAGTGACATCGTCTTTTTGTATTGATATCCTACGGTCTACTTTCAAGAGTACCGAATGGATCACAATCTCTTGTTAAATATATTTAAAAGATACCATAATTTTGCTAACTATGTGTAGACGCCGTCAACCACGGACCTAAGTAGAATCAATGGCTCAAATCCGTTGTCGTTGCGCTCTGCGCCGAGTACGCCACCAAATTTCGGTGGGCACTCGATAACATTTGTTTCTCCATATACTTCAATTTCAAAATCGGAAAAACAGAAGAAAAGTCTTGACAGGGTATTGAATCTTTCTACATATTCACTTTGAAATTATTTTGACACTACTTTAGGACTTCTTCGTATCGGTCCTCGAGACCTCAGTAACTAAAAGAGATGCTAAGGCATATATGAATAGATTTGTGCCTCTACTCGAAAAGAAAGGGGCCACGGGGTTCAAGCAACGTGCAGCTCAGAGCCGTCCAGCAAATGACCTAGACACTATCAGAAAATCCCCCAGTATTGATGTCGTTGCTTCACAAACTCATGGACAAAAGCCTGAACTAGATCTTGCGATTCAGGTACCTCTATATGTCGCCCTGGTTAAGTTCCGCGCTCCTCAGGAGGTCAGCGATGCTACTTTAGATGGCGTAGGAAAGACGCTTGGCCAGCTCCGAAAGCTTGGATTAATCAGCATCGTTGTGGTTGAAACTGGCATCGCCGGAGAAAACGAGGCCCACCGAAGACAGACAGCTACTGTGCAAGCTAATCGAATCGCCACGGCGATAGATAACTACGATGCACCTGGGGCACGGGTTATTGATTCGCCACTTACCATCGAAGCCATACCGGAAGAAGATTCTTCACCATTTACTTCGCGTGGTCTTTTTGTCGGAAATGCTCACGACTTGATGGCTGCATTGCAAGAGGAGGTGATTCCTATCATCTCCTCTTTCGGATATACTGCCGATGACTGCGCTGTCAAGCCGGTTAGTGCCAACGATGCCATCTTAGCTTTGACGAGGCAATTATCAGGTCTCCAATTCCTAGGTCAGCCGGTCGAAGACTCGAAGGTTATACAGACATCAAGGTCTGCCGAGGTGTATCGACTCATCGTCCTAGATCCTCTCGGAGGAATCCCTGCTAACAACCGGGCTACTGGAAGACACCTGTTTTTGAACCTAGAGCATGAGTTCCAGGAGGTCCGAAATGATCTAACAGCGTCGACATCTACAAACTCAAATCTCTCAAGCTCGAATCGTTCGCAGCACTTGGAAAATGCAGAGTTAGCGAAGAATGTCTTGTCCTTGCTACCACCAACTTCCTCCGCAGTTATCACAACTCCCCAGGAAGTAGCAAACGAACGTTCCCCGGAGGATAATGCCATTGACTGGGCGCTTGTTGGAACGAGACGGGGACAGAACCCGTTAATACATAGTCTCCTGACTGACAAGCCGATCCAATCTTCGTCATTGCCGCCTGAACGCTTCAGACTCGTTACATCTTCGACCGGAATGGCTCAGATAGGTTCATTAACAACCTTGGCTAAACGCGGCATGCCCTTAACCATATTCCCGGACCCTCGGGTTACTCCATGGAAACCACCCCAGCCGGGACAAGGAAACCTGAACCTAACAGATCCGTGTATAGACCTGCCTAGGCTTGTGAACTTGATTGAGGATTCCTTCGGCAGGAAGCTCGATGTAGAGGGTTATTTAAAGAGGATACACGGAAATCTAGCCGGTATAATCATTGCGGGGGAATATGAAGGCGGCGCTCTATTGACTTGGGAGAAGCCTCCAGGGGTAGAAGGTTCCGGAGCAGATGTTCCAAGCAGGCTCGTACCCTACCTAGACAAGTTTGCAGTCCTACGCAAGAGTCAGGGGGCAGGGGGGGTTAGCGATATCATTTTTAACGCTATGGTTCGAGACTGCTTTCCAAATGGGGTCTGTTGGAGGAGTCGGAAAGATAACCCTGTCAACAAATGGTATTTTGAGCGGTCCAGGGGCTCTCTAAAGCTAGGCGGCATGAATTGGACCATGTTTTGGACGACTCCGGGCTTGGCTTTGGATGAGCAGAGATTTAAAGACTACGAAAGTGTCTGCCGGGGTATCGAGCCGTCGTGGGCGGATTAGACAGTTATTGATTGAATGAGAGATAGAGCATAGCAATCAGGCCTATATGTAGATAATCACTGATATCTAGATTGTATATTTGTCCTCCAAGAGGATTGAATCTTGAGAATTTATCTGCAAAATATGAGTGTTTAGGGCGATTAGGAGTATATGGATATTATGACATAATCACTAAATGGTAGCTATGCCTATTCTAATTTGTCAGAAATTAAAATTTTTTTTCTGACGTCGACCTTGGTTATGGTCATGTATTAATGTATGTAAAACTGTATTGGCCAAATATCTGAATATTTACGTACATGTACCTATCTGGGTCACTTCCTGGTCAACTAACATGTATGCTTAGGATGACGACAGAAAATGTGAATGAGATCTGTGGAAATCTTTGAAAAAGCGGCTGCGCATAAAGCTCTGAGTCATCTTGTTAAGGCCTTCTTGGTGATAATGATCAATGATCATCAATACCCTGCGTCTCTGTATGGAATGAGTTGTAATATTTTCTGTACACGTAGCATACAAATCATGAGAATCCGGAATCTAGGTTAAGAAAGTGTATGTTAGGTACCTAAGAATTAAGTGTCTTGTCGGGAAGGCGGCAAAGCGGTCAGTATGTGAAAACCCCACCATCGTGGTTGGCATTACATAGTATCAAGGCATGGTGGGGGAGTTGGTGGACACAAGGCGGGGTGAAGTAGATGGTATATCCTGGGGGTGTATGTATATACATGTGCTAACTGAATTCGGCTGTATATTAAGTATTTCTGTATCTCCTTCTTAGGATTCTTTAAGACGCCATGAAAGAAAGTGCTTGATAACGAATTCAACTGGAATGAATACAACATGGAAGTTGTAATGTAATATATATATTATATACAAATAAGTACATTAGGTACCTATGTAATTAACAATCTGATTAGGTACCTATGTTATATATTTGGTAAGTGAATGCAAGAAGTAACTGTCTATAGACGAATAATAAATACATTAAATATCTTAGTCACCAATATTCATAGGTACATAGGTATTCAATAGATAATTCATCTGAGTATACATATTTAGGTAGGTAGTAAAGAAAGGCTGGTGCGATGGGGATGTGGCGTTGAATAAAATGCCAAGAGCCTTACAGTTAGCAATAGATGGAAGTCGAAATGTCCAGAACTTTCGCGATAAACAAATTTGATAGACCCCTCGGGGTGAGATAAGTGAGGGGTTGTACGTATTAGAAACGCTAAAATTCAAAGTCCTTTGCGACCTCCCACTTCGTAGTTTCGGGCAGCTTTTTTTTCCTACCTAGAATCTTTTTTTTCCTTCGGGACAAACAAGATATTTCAAAACTAAACACCAACTGGATTTTTTTTTCTCTTAAACCTAAACCGAATTCGATAAATCATTTCGTACTCGATTGTCAAAGATTTACTCGTAATTCTAATCCGGTACAAGGTTAACGGGCTCGCGACGTTTTCTGACCTCCCCGCAATCAAATATCATTTTTATTTGTTTACCCTCAGTCTTGTTCCACACATCCCAGCAAGATGAGTGTAGTCGGTAGGTTACAATCCCAGTGCTGCATATCCCCATGGTGATCGATGAAGAAATTGCTGACCGTTAATCGTTATAGGCGTTGATTTCGGGACTCTTAACACAGTTATCGCTGTCGCCAGAAATCGAGGTGTCGATGTCGTAAGTATCCACCAGCTTACCTTACCTTTCTATACATCTCTCTCTAGATGCGCCGTATAGTATTAATGGGTATGACTAACTATATATTTAGATTACCAATGAAGTCTCAAATCGAGCGACGCCGTAAGTTGAACATAACCATCTCGTACCCTGCTTCATATTCATTACTTGCTAACATATTCGCCTTCCAGTTCCCTAGTTGGATTTGGTCCCAAGTCTCGATACATCGGTGAACCTGCAAAGACGCAAGAGATCTCCAACCTCAAGAATACCGTCAGCTCTCTCAAGCGCTTGGCCGGCCGAAGCGTCAATGATCCCGATGTCCAGATTGAGCAGAAATATGTCTCGGCCCTTCTCGTCGATGTCAACGGCCAAGTTGGTGCCGAAGTGTCCTACCTAGGCAAAAAGGAGAAGTTCTCGGCTACTCAGCTGACAGCTATGTTCCTAAACAAGATCAAGCAGACAGCACAGAACGAACTGAAATTGCCTGTTACTGACCTCGTCATAAGTGTACCTGCGTGGTTCACAGACACTCAGCGAAGGGGTCTTCTGGACGCAGCTGAGATTGCTGGTCTCAAACTCCTCCGTGTGATGAATGATACTACTGCTGCCGCTCTTGGTTACGGTATCACAAAGTTGGACCTACCTTCAGGCGATGAGAAACCTCGCCGCGTGGCGTTTGTCGACGTTGGTCATGCCGACTATTCTTGTTCGATTGTCGAGTTCAAGAAGGGAGAGCTGAGTGTCAAGTCTACAGCATACGACCGTCATTTTGGTGGACGTGATTTTAACTTAGCCTTGGTCAACCACTTCCAGAAGGAGTTCAAGGGTAAATACAGAATTGATATCACGACTAACCCCAAGGCTATGGTACGTGTCGAGGCTGCCGCGGAGAAGTTAAAGAAGATCCTATCTGCCAACCAACAAGCGCCTATGAACATCGAGTCGCTAATGAATGATGTCGATGTAACGGCCATGATCACCCGACAAGAGTTTGAGGCGTTGGTAGAGCCGCTGTTGAGCAGAGCTACGGTACCGCTAGAGCAGGCCCTTGCAGAGGCCGGGCTCAGTAAGGAGGATATTGATGTGATCGAACTAGTTGGCGGTTGCACACGTGTTCCTGCTCTTAAAGAGCGGATTCAGTCATTCTTCGGAAAGCAGCTCTCGTTCACTCTAAACCAGGATGAAGCCGTCGCTCGGGGTTGTGCTTTCAGCTGCGCCATCCTCTCGCCGGTCTTCAAGGTCCGTGATTTCTCCGTCCTGGATATCGTCAACTATCCCATCGAATTCTCTTGGGAGAAGGATGTTGATATTCCGGACGAGGATACGAGCCTTACCGTCTTTAACAAGGGTAACGTTCTTCCTTCGACGAAAATCCTGACCTTCTATCGCAAGCAGGCATTCGATCTGGAGGCTAGATACGCCAACCCCGAACAGCTGCCTGGAAAGATGTCTCCTTTCATCGGCCGATTCTCTGTCAAGGGTGTCAAGGCTGACCCCAATACCGAGTTTATGATCTGCAAGCTCAAGGCTAGAGTCAACATCCATGGTGTTCTTAATGTGGAGAGTGGATACTATGTTGAGGATCAAGAGGTTGAAGAGGAAGTCAAGGATGAGAAGAAGGATGAGGGAGATAAGAAAGATCCAGACGTAAGTAATATCGCATGGTTACGCAGTAGGCCCAGCTTTGGAGACTCGCGCGTAAAGTTGTATTTCTCACGAAGCATTAATAGCTAACTTATATCATAGGCGATGGATACCGATACCAAGAAGGGAGATGACAAGCCCAAGACTCGAAAGGTCAAGAAGCAGGTTCGCAAGGGTGATCTGCCTATTGTTGCTGGAACCACCTCATTGGACGAGAGCATCAAGAACGCATTAACGGAGAAGGAGGCATCAATGCTTATGGAAGACAAGCTTGTTGCTGACACGGAAGAGAAGAAGAACGAGCTGGAGACGTACATTTACGACCTGCGTAACAAGCTGGACGACCAGTACGCCGACTTTGCCAGCGAAGAGGAGAAGGAGAAGCTAAGGACGAAGCTCACTCAGAGTGAGGTAAGCATATTAATTCTAGCCCAGTCTCAAACTTGATGCCAGAAGCTAACTATATCTAGGACTGGTTATACGAAGATGGGGAGGATGCTACTAAGGCAGTTTACATCGCTAAGATGGACGAGATCCGAGCCATGGCTGGCCCTATTACACAACGCTATTTCGACAAGGTAGAAGCAGACCGTCAAGCCCTACAAGCCAAGCTTGATGCCGAAGCTGCTGCCAAGAAGGCCGCCGAGGAGGAGGCTCGAAAGGCAGCTGAGGCGGAGAAGGGAGAAGCTACCAAGGATGAGGAAATGACCGATGCAGAGGCTCCCAAGGCCGAGACCGAAGAAGCCCAGTCGTAGAGTCAACGAAGGGTACTTTCCTCTAAGTGAGGGTGCAATAGATGGAACCAGTCCCTTGGCGATCAGATGATGTGTGCATGATGAGGACCAAAAGAAAAGATTTTTTAATGACTGCATGGTAGGGCGGTTTGACGGATACTGGACATGGGCATCGTTCGGGGGTGTTCTACTGTTAACTCCGCGGTGCTTCACGAGGAATAGAATTTCATTTTGCGGCCGGAGGGGGACGGTTTTAGCACGCAGACCTTAGATAGATCAGATAACGAGGGTTATTTGATACGTTTGCATTACTTGTTCAACTATTTTGCTAGTTTTGCCTCGCATTGATAGGTTACGATAATCCAGTATTGAAGGATCGCTTTCATGATACGAAAGCTGCGAGTAGATGCTTGTCGTGATCTTAGGGAATAATTCAATTTGTGTTTTGCTCCCCTCGAAATTTCCTCCTAGTCGATCCTGGCATCGATCTGCTACTATCGGTGCCGCATGGTATATGATTTTACCAGAGCTAGGCATCTTTTACGTACTATTGTTCCTCTTGTCTTCAACCTCTTCTATGATAGATTTATTGTAAGTCGATCGATCCTGATGATTGCGACTTGGTCTCCGAGGCTACATTATGAGTATAAAACTCGTAGTGTCTCGACACAGTCTTGTTAACTAGGTAGATCACCCTTCTGAAAAACGACATGTGGATTTTAAGTGTTTTAGAGAAATTAATATCAATAGTAAAACGCTCTGATTAATACATGGGTGTATTTTAAGTTCCTTATTATCGGTAAAATTGGTACCACGCTTATAGCCACTCGCTCGATGCTTTCAGTGCTCTCACGCAGAGTGATACCATTAAAAAACACATAGGTAAATAAAGAGTTGTTGATAGAAGTTGGTCAACACGAATTTCGGTGGTTCTGGAATAAATCTTGAATACGGGGCGGTGTTTGTGGAGGTAGTGATACCGCATCCGTGGTTATCCTGTAGTGTCGATTCGGATCGCTGTCAGAACTGCTAGACGACACGTTTAGGCCGAGACTTCCATCGGGCGATTCGCTTTTGTTCTCCTCTTCGTCCTCGATGCACGTGTCTGAGCCATAGTCCCAGGAAGCATAGAAAGGGAAAGGTGGATGGTCTTCGTGGTAGAGTTGTCCAACATAGGGGAGTGGATGCATACGTGGTGGTGGTATTCTACGCGGGAATGGTACGATTGTCTGGTAAGGCTGGCAAGGATCACTTTCGAAGTTGAACCACACGTCTTTCCAGTGGCTGTAGACAGAGCTTTCATTTGCCTTTCTCTTCTCTTCCCCGATCAACGACCATGCCTTGCGACATTGGGTATTATACGAGGCGAAAGACCACCGCATACTCCGGATGTCTGAGTGGACATCTGTGATCTCAACCGACTCTATGTTGTATTCGAATCGCTCCGAAAAGAAATTCTTGAGGTATTCATAGTTTATAATCTCCTGAGGACCGTTTATGGTAAGAATTCGCGACTGTAAGGATGGCCTTCGCGCTCCCTCCATGGCAACGTTGGAGACCTTCACACGGGGTATTTGAGTTCCGATGATAAACAAACCATCCCTTTGCTTTTGTAGTAAGCGTGTGACGCCATCACGCGACCAGAATTGGACGAATGCTTCGCTCCCGGCTATCGTGACTCGGTTTATTTTTCCGGTGTTGCGGAGGGCACTGAAAAGTGTCCCATAATCTATAGTTACGGGAAGATTGGATATGTGGACCACGCAATTCTTATTCTTAAGAACAGGGACATCTCTCTTAACGCCTACCCAGCTCTCCATAGCGTCGGTATATGTTGTTGGATACGTGTCCTTGGACTTTGGTGAGGTTAAGGGTAGACTATCGATTTAATATAAGCGATATCACGATAGAGCGTTAAGGATTATTGCAAATCAAGACTGATTCTTGGAGAGTAAAATAGATATCTTGAATTATGGTATTGCTACAAGTGAAGATGCACAGGTACTTATAGATGGTACCTAGGTATCAAGTAGGTTACGTACTTCCCTAACCTAGGTAATGATAGGGGGCGACCTTCCGCAGGTGTTATACGAAAAGATGAGTTACGCACGGATATTTTTAGCAAAGGTGAAACCGATAGCTTAACGGTAACTGGTAAGAAAAGGAAACTACAATAAAATATAAGGAGGGACTGAAACAGTTTATAATACAAGTAAACCACCAGTTCATACTTCGGCCCATGTCATATCTCAGGGCGCAAGCTCAACCACTGCCACTCTATTGGTTCAAATGGGGCGTCCCTCTCGCCTAGGAGGTCGTCTAGAATATTCAAATTCCTCTCTTCTTCTTCATTCCTGTACTGTGGTCCTAATTGGATGTTGTAGATTCATTTTCGGCAAGGTCTAATCATATATGAGGATTAGACATGTCTCCCACTGCTTCAGTTTCTTCTAATGTTTCTATGTCTAATATGGTTACTTCTTCCAAACGATCAATTTGTATCCGGGATAGGGGATGATCAGGAGCTGTGGTTTGAAGGTACCTGATAATTTCAACCCAAACGTCCGCATCTTCGTTAATAGGCGTTATGTAATTAACAATACTCCTAAACACAGGGATTGGTTCAGTTGTATGTATATATCGATTTGTTGTTTCTCTGTTCTACGTAATTTGTCTATTTATGCTGAGACTGTTTGCTTCTATCTGCTTTTTCATCTGCTTTATCGTTGCTTTTATCGCCTCGAGACTGTCTGTTTCTAAATTAGGAAGGGAAGTTAACATAAGCTCAAGTCCCCTGGCTACCTTAATATACTGATCTGAATTGGACCAAGACTAGGGAGAAACTATGAAGAAGTGTGTGACCAACAATATAAAGTCAATTAGTTGGTTAACCAGTTGAAATTGCCCAGCCTCCGCGGAGCGGAATGAATCACCACAGGAAGGAGTTGCCCCTGAGTTAGTAAGAAACAATGCGACTTTCTAAGCACCGATACGTATCGCTAAATGTAATGGTGAAGTGCAAATCAGTCCCACTCTGTTCACTCCTTCGTTATAGTCATCGACATTTTCTTCTTCACTCATACACATAACGTGAAGTCCATGTCCAATCCTTAATCCCGGGTCTAGATAACGTATGCCAGTACGGCATATGTGATGAATATCCGCCCCGCCTCTGATTAAAAGGTCTACTAGCTCATGAGAATCGTAGTATACTGCGATATGCAACAGAGATACCCGGGCCGGACGGACATCAAAATGACATATCTTGATATGTCTCCCCTCTAGAAGATGTGGATCGGGTTGAGTTGACGCCCTAAGTTCGAGAAGGAGTTGATATGTTTTAATATTGACTGAAACTACCGCGGCGCGAATAGGATCCAGACATCCATCCACAAACTGGCTGCTCATAGTCTCCAGCCTATTCCCACACCCCCCCTCTCCTCCCCCGAAGTGTTGATGGTGTAGAATAGAACAAGTCAAAAAACTACTACATGATTGGATAATAGCAAAATGTCGAAGCAAGTGACCAGATTTGCCCAGACTTCTGCACGCACCCTCACAGATTTACTGTCACACTGCCCAATGCCGTAGCATTCCACTTAAGTAACATGTTAGTACGGAAACTCTTGGCCGACGAGGCTCTCGCCTAGTCTCCGAAACCCTTCGACTTCGATTAAACCAATTGTCTAAGGTCTCACTGCCTCAATCCAGGGGTCAGCTATCCAGCAGCTTACAAGATAAGCCCCATTATGAGCTTCGATCATTAGGTAGCCAAGTACTTTATATTTTATATGTATTACGACTAGCTAGGATGAGCAAACTCTGGCGGGACTCGCGCCGTGCCAATCGTGAAAGCTGCCCCTATTCCTACAGGAGACATCGACGGTAAGAACGATTTTGCCCTTAATCTGCGACTCATATGTGACGGCGAGATTGCTGGCTGTTCTAAGATCCGTGTTCATGATTGCGGGTGATACTGAGGTTCGAAGAACGCTGAGAGTTTACTTCATCTTCACTAACAATGCAGATAATATCGCCTACAGATTATCTATCATCGGACCGGATCAGAATATGATTTGCCCTCCCCTAGTATACTTCTTAGTGATGCAGACTCAAAAAACCGTCTATAGAAATATCATAGGGATCCTTTGCAACTCAATTTCATACATAAAGGAGTTCGGTGGATGTGGAAATACAAACTTTTATGGGTATTAACGGTATTAGCAGGGGTGTATACCGGCCCCGGGTCGGGGTCGAGACGGGAACTAGACGTGGAGCTGCTAGGGGAGCATCCTTGAAGCTCGATAATGAAATATGATAATGACAGGAATATTTCCTTATATACTGCTTAATATGGTCGCTTTTCCAATTTATTTGAATATCTTCTCTTGAGAAATACCCCTACCCCTTTGGTCTATTGGGGTTTGCTACCTCTTTTAGAAACTCCGCCACTATTCATGTAGGAGCTTTAAGAAAAGTCCCCGCGCCTAGGATCGGAATGACAGGCAGCATATCCACGCAAGTATTATTCTCTCATTGCGTCCTTTAGATGCTGGATACGATACTAGTAATTAAGAAAATATTTATATTGGCACATAACAAGTTCTAAGATACCCATAGGAAACCAATCATGAGTAAGAACTGTTAGTATTACCCCTTTCGGACATAGAGAGCTTTATTTTCATCTTGATTGGCTAGTATTGGACCGAAAAGGCGCTACGTTTTTATGTAGTAATAAATTCAGAGCGTCGTCTCCAATACGACCAATGACGGCCCCGACTAAGCTAGAGGCGGAGTAACTCCATTGTAAAGATCATCTTCTCCCACTATCTTTAGCGTGAGACTCCAGTTTAATATATAATTAGATCGATATATAAAGTATTCATGATTCAACGTTTATACTCAGGTAGCTTTCCATCAAGGTCTTTACAAGCTAAATATTTACTATACGATTAGCCTTACTATATCATGGCACCCAAAGTCCTCCGTCGCCGCGACCAGACTGCTGGTAGTGGACTCCGAGCAGTTCTTTCGGCTCAGGAAAAGGCCGCCTCACCATCTCCCATTCCTAGCCTATCTGAGGACGTAAGTCCAAACCTACGAGCTTCTTGGCAAGTTAGTTTCTTTACTAACATACCCCGTAGGCAGAGGTAGTAAAAGCCACCTGCGACTCATTCCTCCTCGAATCATTCACTGCAGAAGACGCCTGGGAGCTTGGACATCTGCTCTATGCGCGACTACTCCCTTTCTCTGCCCAGAAGCCCACGCTGATCTCCATCGCGCTAGCCAACGGCCAGGTCCTGTTTCAAACCGCTGTTGGCTCCGGCACCGCGCTGGACAATGAGATTTGGGTGCAGAGGAAGAGGAATACCGTGCTAAGATTTGGTGCGAGCACTTGGTTCCAGCACTGCAAGTACGCAGGCGATGAGGAGGCTTTTCGGCTTAAGTTTGGGATGAGTCCTGAGCAGGCGGAGAAGTATGCGATTCATGGCGGCGGTGTACCCAGTAAGCGAATTACTTTCATTTCTACTAACTGAGTAGTTTAAATGAGAGGCTTCTGTTGCTAACAATATTGTTTATAGTCCGGGTTAAGGGAGTCGAGGGTATCGTTGCAGTCGTTGTGGTTTCTGGGCTGAAGCAGCATGAGGATCATGGTGTTATTGTTGATGTCATTAACAGCAACTGGGAATGATAATGTCAATATTAAACTCTTGAAAATCCGGTATTCAAATAACGAGGTAAAATTTATATTGAAATATGGCCAAATTTACTGAATGCATTGCTTGTCAAGTAAGATGCCTTTAAGTGAACGATAATTGATAATGGCGACCATTTACCAGTACTACGATACCACTTATTCCCGAAGTTGTACTCATCTCTGATGGATAACTTGAGTAGTTCATTAGATATATACCAAATTCTTCGTATTCTGCTGCTTGGTTTTAATAATTTCCAAATTCACGACTTACTAAAACACCCTTTCACTTTCGTAGAATCTCCTCATACTCCGGGAGATCCCACTTAACCTCTTCCTTCAGAAACGCCTGCGCAATGATATCCAGCCTGAAGAAAGCCGCAACCCCCGCGATGAAATTCATAACGCCGATCCCAAACGGCGTCGTCGGCATCATATTGCCCGCAATACCCTTGCCGTCACCGATGTCTTTCTGCACCTGCTCCATGAAAGGGTGGAACGTCTCATCGTAGGCTTTGAGCGCAGCCATGATGCCGCCCTTATTGTTGTCTAGCTCACCGGTACTGTTCTTGCACTGTTTGCCGATTTCTCCGGCGAGGACGTATGCGCCTACAATAGCGGACGTGGTTCCCATCCCCGTATTCGCAGTGGGGCAGTATGCGGCGTCCCCGACGAGGGCTACGCGTCCGCGGGACCAGGAGTCTAGCTTGACGAGGCCCATGTGCTCGAGATAAAAATCATCGGATTCCATCATAGCCTGTACGAGTTCCTCAGCCTCCCACCCTGCGTCTTTGAAGATCTCCGCCATCGCCTCCTTTTCTTCCTTCACATCTCCCCTAGGAGCATTCTTCAGTCGTTCGGAATCGCTCTTGCAGGTGAGATATACCTGAATTTGATCAGGGCTATGCCTTCGGGTCATGATAGCTCGTCTTCCGGGGGCGGTGTATACCGTCGCGAGATATCCTTCTCCTTCTTTAATCGGCTTATTCATCGTGAAGTATCCTACGTAGATTCCGCGGAGTGGGTGGAGTCCTTCTGTGCCAGACCCGAGCATCATCCTACGTGTTCGTGAATTCTGTCCATCCGCGCCGACTAGGAGATCAAATTGATCTCTCTTGCCGTCTGTAAGCTTAACTTCCACCCCGTTGTCGTACTGCTCGAAACTTTCGACCGACGTCCCAAAGACATACTTGGTCTGATCCTTAGAGTGGTCGTATAAGAGGCGACATAGATCCCCCCTCATGATCTCATAGTCGGTCGTGAAGCTCTGCAGTCCTTTGCCAGATTTATTCACTGGGAAGAGGGCACGTCTTTTACCCGCATGGTTGACTACCTGTAAGCCTTGTTCTGGAGCCATCCTCGCCCGGAAATCCTTCTCGAGACCCATGCGCTTCATAACTTCGATCCCATGACCTCGTAAATCTAGTTGAAGCCCGGTAGTTCGTAGTGTGGGAAACCATTCGAGAACCGTAACTTCATGGCCGATCTTCGAGAGCCAAAAAGCGAGGGCGCCACCGGCGATACCTCCGCCGTTGATTAAGACCTTCATTCTCGCCATGGTCTTGGCAGGTATTTCGTTAAGTGCTCGCAAGGATAGCGAACAAACACTATATATAAAAGGGATTTAGCTCCAATTAGAAAGTATCGCAGATTTATACTTAGTTGGAATCGCCAGATGCAAGCACATTGTATTAAATAATTAGAATGCTACCCCTTAATTCTCGCAGTGCTTTGCTACCGTGGCGGCCGGTTATCTCCGTCATCTCCTGCTTCGGCCGAGCGAACGTGGCACACCGACGAACATATAACTAGACCGGCTGTAAGAGACCGCGGGAAAGGCGTCATAGGTATAAATTATACGGAGGTTGCCTGCATTTACACCTAGTTAGCATTGTAATTAATTCTCCCTCATGCCTCGTGTTTCTTGCTACACCAATGCCACATGAATCGCTATTAAGCTCGTTTCTCCCTCAATTCTACTTCTAGACTCTGTTATACGCCGTTACTGGTTTACGAAAAGTACGGGCGAGTTAGTATACAGGGCTCTATTTACTCAATCGCACGCGGGAAACAGGAACAAGAAACTTAAACGGGCTAAATACAAGAAAAGCCTGGAAACGTGATAAATATATTACAAGAAGGTGATTATACGATTATACATTTTGATAAGTCACAGTATCAAGCAAAGCCCGAATCAGTCATCAAAAACTCCAAGTCGAAATCCAAATCCATCCCGTACCCACCGTCTAGATTATTTGGCGTCAAGTTAATATTACTAGGACATGGCGAAGGAATGTTACCCGCTTGTTCTTCTAGCAAACTAACACATAGTTCAAGGCTATCTTTTCCACTTTGTGCAATCTTGAGGTCGCACGGGACTCCTTCCTCTGTGGCTTCCACCTGAGCCATGATCATGCTGAGGAACATGGGCCCCTTAACGTTGGTTTCGCCTTGCCGAATTCGTTCTAATGATAGCAATATCATATCTTTTACAGCTTTCTTCAGATTCTCAACATCCTGGGAATTACGTCGGTGTATCCCGTCAGTACGTCGTGCTTCAACTTGGGAGACGAGCTCGCGAGTAATGACACTTATTGCGTACCTGAATCCCTCTCTAAACATACCCCCTCCAATAGCCATAAGACGAGAAAACCCCTCGTCGGGCTCGGGAGAAATAAGGGTCATAGCTGAGTCTAGCGTAACCTTGAGCGAGTAATAAAATAGAGGATTCGCTCGCGCCTCACCGGCGAAAGGGCAATGAAGGGGGATTAAGAATCGCCGCACCAGATGGTCAAGTAGATTTCGATGGAATGATGTCACACCTGACCTCTCATTATCTCTTATGAAGTTACTATACGAGCGATATTTGTCGGTGAGCTCTGAGCTTAAAGAAAGAGCATCCATGTACGAAAGGTCGGAATGCAAACCGTTCAGAAGCTGTAGAATCCGTAAGCGTATTGGTACTAAGTCAAGTAGTATAAGTTGTAGTGATGTTGAGGTATAGCTGTTCCTTGGGTGGGACTGGAGTGTCGTAGTCGTCTCATCTATTTCATCATCATTGCTATTTGATGGCGCTTCAGTGTCAAAGTCATCAAAAGAGATTCTAGGCGGCATTGCAGAGTCCAAAGATGATTGTACAGTTATCTCAAGTATAGTGGCCCATAGTCTTCTGCGGAGTTCGGCTTGTAGGGTAGGCATTCCTGGGAGATGCTTGGGGTCGCGGTGCAAACCTATTTGCATTGCCATATTCATAAGCGATCCCGATGACACCCAGACCAGATCACCGCCAATTGAGAATATCTGTCGTGCTAGAATAGTTAAGCAGTAAATTTGGATGCCGTTGATATCCAGCCGATCTTTTTCTAGTGGCCCAGAGAGCCATGTCTGGGCGGCATATATCCATTCGGGAACTCTATTACGAAGCCCGGGATCACTGTCTATGTGATTAGATAGGCTCGATCCTATCCCAATTATGAGGAGCGTCTTAAGGCGCGAGCTTGTAGTGACACTTTCTGGACAATCCCAAAGTTTCCGATATTCGGACCAAAAAGTAGGGGCATGTATTATTCTATACATCGATTCGAATGATTGAAAATATGAAGTTGCCATAGCATCCGCTACCTCCCGAGAGGGAGGTACAAGGTCAAAATCGGGGTACGAGAGCCATCTACTAGGCCTTCCCAGCTTGATGCTTCTTGCTATGTTTTTACATTTCTGGAGAAGAGTCCATATCTTGGCATATAGGGCTCCCTTTTCAGTATCTGGAGGTAAGGTCCCCTTGGCAGTGTTGGCAGCTGCAACATAACAGGCAATTATAGGTGCAAACTTGTGATATGGTTAGTAAGATATCATATAGATGAAATGAATGTGTTTTCTACCTCCGCGGCTGTGCCTATTCTAAGACTCCACCCTAAGATTCTTGTTTTATTAAGAATTATCTGCGAGTCCCGCAGCCCTAGCTGGCGCGCGAGTATGTCCCGGCCATTTTCAGACAGCCCATTCATGGGGCTAGATACCGAAGACTTGGCAGGGGTGTTCTGTCCCCGTTGAAGGATACCTACGATACCTGGTTCGGCTTCCAGAGCAGATACATGTGGTTGAATGCTGCTGGGGTCAAGGCCGAGAACAGTCATGCCTGGTCTATCATTTTGTCCTCTTATAAGAGATGATTCTAATGCAGATACTGCTGATGATTGTCCTACCCGATGGCCAGAACGATTGGTATCATGCTCCGTAGTTGGCCTATTGTTGCCTAACTCCTGAGTCTGGGCTACTGAGGGTGAAGGTACGTGGCTTGACGAGCTTGACGAGCTTAACGTCTCTACAGGCGAAATACCTGGCCTCAGCGTCAGTTGACTAACTGGCTCGTCGCTATAAACCCTGTAGATGCATTTTAATTTGGCGGAGATACAATGTGCACATGGCTCATCCCGGTTGCACTTAATCTTGCGGCGCCGGCACTCAAGACAAGATAAGGCCGGCCTTCGACGTCGACGTTGTTGTTTTTTTAATAGCATGGCAACAATAATATTTCGGCTGTACGATTAGCGTAACCTCAGTAGAAAGGTATATACATAAGTAAATCGCATAATGTAGTATAAGATTGATGTAAGTGTTGTTCCAGGTAATTAAAAGTGTAAATGTCTTAGGTCCGGAATATTCGGATATCATAAGAAAATGCCGAAGCGCTTATAGCCGTTGACCCACTAGTTAAGGGAAGATATGGTATGCTATTGGTCAACTGGTTCATTTAAAGCCGTTTAGCTCCGTTGTAAATGTTCACATTTGCCTTTTTTTTTTTTTAGAGTGATGCTAATTACATAATTCTGCCCCATAACTTCCCCAGAACACTCGTAATTTTAGGGGACCAGTACGCTGGACCCAGCATGCCAGGGGGGCTGTCAGGTTATTATTGAGGTCCCTAATTCAAACCACCACCCAACCTGTTTTGACCCGCTATGCACCTACCCGGAAGATCCGAAGTCAGTAGGTACCTAGAGATGGGAACCAACACAGCCCACAGAATGAGAATACAGTACTAGATGCCTTGATTAGCTTTAAGTTTCAGATTATATATAGGCTATCCACGGCCATGGATGTAGTTGTTCAATAATTCCAGTCGCAGGTCCTTTCCGGCTTCAGCTCCTGTATCTGACTCTTGACAATGCGGCCATCCTTCATGACTAGCATGAGATTGTCCCTAGTACGGTCCAGAGTAGATACGTCATCCAGAGGATTCTCTTTCAAGAACAGCAAGTCGGCAAAAGATCCTTCAATGAGTTCGCCCAGCAAACCCTCCATACCTAGCTGCTTTGCCCCGTTTATAGTGGCCTGCCTTAGCACCGTGGGTGAAGGTAGGATCTTGCCACGCACGACGAATTCGTATGTCTGCATGACGAGCGTCGGCCCGGTGGTGTCAGTACCGTAGCACACGGTCACGCCTGCGGCCTCGGCGATGCGAATGGCTCGGATACCGGCATCTCCGACAATGGCGTTCTTGCGTAGGCCCTCAGGACTTTCGAACTTGTCATATGGGGGCATGGTCACGAAAGTGTGCAGCGCGAGCGTTGGCGTGAGGAAGCAGCCGACGGATGCCATCAAAGCGGCAGTCTCCTCATCGACCATGTTGCCGTGCTCAATACCGCGGACCCCGCCCGCAATGGCGTGACGGATACCTTCCGCCGTGTAGCAGTGCGCCGTGACTAGAGTGCCTCCCATGTTCTTCGTCACTGACGTGATAGCTTCGAGCTCCTCCTTAGTGAACTGCAAGCTCTCAAGCTTGTCCGTAGCGGAACCGATTCCTCCCGAAGCCTGCAGAACGAAACCGTATGAGATCAGCTACTTGTCCCCGCCTCCACGAGAAAAAAGATACTGGATTAATGGAAATTGGAGTTACCCTGTCAGCGTATGGGGTTGGTTGGAAAGACTTACGCAGACCTTGATATGGTTTGCTCCTTTCCGCATGTTATCGCGAGCTGCCTTCAAGCACTCGGGGACGCCATCGCAGAGCCTCCCCAAAGCAGAGGCCCCGATCCCCTTGCCTCCACTGCAGCAGTGGTCGTCCATCCACACCTCCGTGTCATCACCATGACCACCTGTTTGAGAGAGCATGCGTCCACCCTGGAATACACGAGGGCCTGGGACCAAAAACTCCTCTGTGGCCTTCGCGTGAGCGATAGTTGCGCCGCCAGTGTCCCGCACTGTCGTAAAGCCATTGGCAAGGATGCCACGAAGAGTTCCGGCTGATCGAAACACCGCAGTCTCGTGGGGGAACGTGAAAGCACCCTGCAAGGTCTAGCGATCGTTCAGTATCAATCAGCGGAGTGATTGAAAATTAGAAGGAAGGCGAGACGACAAGGACGACGAATTCGCTTACTCACATTAGATCCATGCACCGCCATAAGATGGACGTGGCCTATAATGTGACGGAACAAGTTTGTTAGCATAGCTTATTGGGTCGTAGGCAAACAATACACCCTCCCTCGTCCCCGTACTGGTTGATTTGGAAGTGGGGTTGGTCATTCACAAGCTTACAGTCAATTAGACCAGGACAGACGTAATAATCTCCAGCATCGATTCTGACCACCCTTTTCCCATTGAAGATCAAGTCGCCTGCTAGGTGCGCCGGTGTAGTCGGTGATATACGGACAATTTTGCCTCCCACAAGTTGTAGGGACATGCCCTCGTGCACCTTGCCCTCACGCGGGTCAACAATCTTAGCGTTCACTAATAAATAAGGCTGCTGCGGACCCGGCAGCCATGGCTTCTCCGCAATGTCAAAGTCGGGGTTTGGCGGGTAGATGGTGCTCCTGAGCTCGGCGAACGAATGGACGAAGTTCTCACCGGAGTCGCTTTGTGAAGGGGTTAGCACCGATGACGTCTCGTCGACGCTACAACTGCTAGAGCCGGAAGACGGCGAGTTAACGAATTCGAAGAAGTCCATTGGCTCGGCTGAGGGAAAGCGACATGGTTGAGGTCGCATTTTATCTTGATATTGCACCATCAGCGACGTCTTGCTGGAATGTGGGACGATGCGTGATGTTGCAAACACTGATATCTACAGAGCTGGCTCTCGAATCCAAATTGACGATGCAACGAATACTTACTAGAAACGGTCACGTGATGTAACTTTTGATGTTAGATATCGGTGAGAACGACGAACGTTCAGCTTCGGAAGATATCAAGCATCATCAATGGGGATCTCGGAACGACCGGGGTATACAGGCTTCGGATCTAAACGGGTAAAGCAGCTGGTTTATCTTAAGCCTTAGGCCCCGCAGTTCCGATATCATTCGACATCTTGAGCGATAACGATTGTTCATCTGGAAGAGGGAGGGAATTCATGACCGGTTATCATGAGCTTAAGATCCGATCTCTACAGGGCTTCTTAGATTCTTATCTAAACTCAGGAGAAAGAAAACATGTATATGAGAGGATTGAATTACGAACTTGTCATCGACCTATTGTCATGACAAAAAAGAATTCGCTAGCCTCAATTTGAACAGTACATATTAGTTTAATATCTTCAACCAAAAATGGGTCCACAATTTGCAACTGGCTGGAGGCAACTAAGCGTTGGGATCGTCGGCGGCGGCATCGGTGGTATGTCCGCGGCGATCGCTCTGCGGCGTGCTGGCCATGAGGTGTCTATCTACGAGCGCGCAGACTTTGCCGGTGAAGCCGGGGCGTCCGTATCCTGCGCAGCCAACGGTACCCGTTGGTTACATGAATGGGGCGTCGACATTGAAAAAGGAGATCCTGTCGTACTGAAGAAGCTTATCAATCGCGACTGGTACACTGGAGAAACTGTTAGTATATACGATCTCGACGATTATGAAAAGCGATGGGGCTATGCCTACAACATGTTCCACCGGCAATACATGCATACCATGTTGAAAGACTGTGCCCTGCAAGAAGAGGGCGAGGGTATACCGGCCAAACTTATTGTCAACCACCAGGTATGAACTTCCTCCGGCGGTCTACGTCCCCGCCTAGTATTAACGCCGCCATTAAACTCGCAGTGTGAGAACATCGATCTTGAATCCTCCACCGTCACCTTCGCGAACGGTAAAACGGCCAAGCATGACTTAATTGTTGGTGCTGATGGAATTGGCTCAGTTATTCGCGGTATTGTTAGACTTAGGCACCCCCTGACCTGGACACAAGCTGATTATGTTTGGCAGGTATTCTGGGTATCCACCCCGAAAGGAGGCCTTCAGACCAGAGCTGTCTGCACACTAATGTTTTAACAGAAGATGCTGTTAAAGCCGGACTAGTTGATTACTCTCAAGATAGCGCGCTAGAATATTGGGGTGGCCAGGAGGGTAAATGGGACAAGATCGTGCTCTCTCCTTGCAATAGTGGAAAGTTGCTCTCGTACTATTGCTTCTTCCCTAGGGAAGTAGGTGATTACGCCAACCAGCAGTGGGGCGGCGAAGACCGTCCTCTCGAGGAACTTCTTTCACCTTATCCTAAGCTTGATCGGCAAGTTTTTGCCCATCTTACCATCGGAAAGGAGATTCGCCCATGGCGATTATGGGTCCAGTAAGTCTATATCTACCACTATTGATGGTGAACCACTGAAGCGAATGGTTACTCATGTTTACCAGTGACCCGTACCCATATATGCACAAAGGGAAGGTCTGTCTTTTAGGTGACGCTGGACACCCGGTATGTTGACTTTGGAACAGCCCCAGCCGCCCAAGTTCCGGGGCAATGTTAATGGTGTGTAGATGATGCCCCACCAAAGCCAAGGGGCTTGTATGGCAATTGAAGACGCCGCGGCACTTGGAATCCTTTTCAGCAACAAATATTTTCAAGGAAACGTAGAGGATACTCTGGATGTCTACACTAAAGTAAGACTTCCCCGAGCTACCCGGGTCCAGGCAGCCGCAGCGAAAGCCGCGTATAACATCAACGAGCGCATTGGTAAGAGTCTCCTATCCACATCTAAGCGATCGAGTTCTGTCATGCTAAAGACCATGCAAGGGTTCTCTGCCAACACGCACACGCCTACATACAAAGTCGAGGACGAACGGAACAAACTAACCATCGAAGAGATGAACACGTAAGTAAATTCAATGATTTTATTACCAACGGGGAACTCAAATGTTTATAGATACGACATGTATCGTGATATCGAGGAGAAGCTTGCCGTTCAGGGGGACACCCCATATACTGGTAAACGGTTCTGCAGGCCACCACTTGGTGTGGATATGTCCAATGGGGTTATTGTTGGAGCAGAGTGAGGTAGTCAAATAGTCGCCTATACTTCAAAATGATATTAAGGTCGTCTGCGAGTTGGTCCCAATGGGATTTCCCGTGATTGGGTCTATCTTAAAACATACTTGCGTTTGATGTTGTTAAGTTCTTTTACTTAATCTCTCCCCTGCTCTTTTTGAAATAGATGTTCGTCATCCCCGCATAACATACCACTGTCCCCATGAAAACTCCACGATATGTTTCTAGGCAAGACGAAATAATGCTCTTACCTAAAACGTATTGCACAGAAGACTAGATTATGTTCCCGACGAAAAACTCCTTCCATTTATGAAGTGACTTAATAGCATTGGTTTGGCACAACTCCTAAGTTCTATAAGTCTATCTAGCGGCAATACCATACAAACCTGTTCTGTTGCATCTATTGTAAAAAGGGTGACGGATGGCCTCGCAATTGAGAGGCGACCACGGTAGGTTTTAGCATGAGGCAGCCTCGGAAATAATAACTCCAAAGCTTCTGTACCCATGGAACGAGACGCCGAGAAGTCAGCAATCGGATTAAGATAACATCGCATGGCCTCCTTTCCGAGGTTCCGAAGTGCTTCTATACTTTTTCCCGAAGTTCCGAATCCGATATCCTATCTATTTGCGAGCCCACCTTTTTTAGAAGTAGTATTATTAGATCGAGTGATACTCGACACCCTCATCTGGGACCCCTGCACCGTGAATGTAAAATATTAGCCATTCTAACATCTATTCCATCAGTTGAAATTAATCCAAAAAAAGCCCCCTCCCAGGAAAGAAAAGAGGAGCCAGTAAGCCGGCAGAAACGGCGCAAAGATTTGAGGCGATGGCTGAATCGCTAAAATATACGTGCCACCAATATGGCTCCATAAATGAACTACAGAGACTGGGTGTGTGGGAGCTTGACCCAGTCAATATAAACAAGTATTGGATCATGTAGGTTAAAACGGGGTTTATTAAACAAGCCAGAGAACGAGTGATCACCACCTGTCTCTCTCCGAGCATATTACTAACATGTACGGCACCCTCGGGACAGCTACATCCACGGTGGTTGCTGGCGTGATCCGCGCATCGACCACAAAACGTTTGCCAACTCTATCAACTGCATCCTCGCTCATCCCTCGCCCACCTCGGCCCAGTCTAGCATAGCCGGCTTCGCCTCCCTGGACTATCGCCTCTCACCACACCCAGACTTCCCGCAGGATCTATCCACCACACCCGAGTCCCAGCTCAGGAACGCTACACACCCGGCCCACGTCAACGACGTGTACTCCGGCCTCGCCTTCCTACAGCGGCGCTACGGGTTCGGGTCTAGGTACGTGCTCGTCGGCCACTCGGCGGGTGCTTGTCTCGCACTGCAGCTTCTCGGGGGCCTTGCTGGCATTGATAACGGCTTGGAAGTTGTTCTTCCAGAGGTCGTTGTCCCTTTTGAGGGCATCTACGACTTCAGTGGCCTAAACAACCGGAAAGGCGGGACGTACGCTGAATACTTCTCGGGAGCCTTCGGGGACGATCCACTAGGCTGGGATGCCGTAGCGCCGCTGAATGTCCCAGAGAGCTTCCGCGGACGCTGGGCTGATGGCAAACTAGTATTACTAGGCTGGTCGAAAGATGATGAACTAATCGACGAGCCTGAGGTAGATGCAATGGCCGCCCGGTTACAGCGGGATGGAGTGAGAGTGGTGGTGTGGAAGGATTTGAGTGGCAGGCATGACGAAATCTGGGAACAGGGAGAACAGGTTGCGAAGATGGTCCTGTGGGCTCTCGATGATGTGGTGCGCGGCACTTAAAGGTGAAAAAATGAGAAGATTTTAATTCAGAGGGTGAAAGTTCAGTGGACAATCAGTTATAGGTAAGGCAAATAAATAAGTTGGTGGAATTAAAGTATTGTTTCACTGAGAGTTGATCTATCTATGCTTTATTATGCAAGAATAAAGATCTCAAGTTAGCGAAAAGCCGACACTCCTGTCCAACAGGCTCTCATTAATTATAAATATATACAAATTCTCATACCACCCTAACCTGGTACATCTTATCTTAGTTTCCCCCTTCTTGTTCTCGCAGCAAAACCTAAAAAGGCAAGCGTTCTCTACGATCTCGAAGCTATTTACAGTACACACATACAATAAACACCTTAATATAAGGCATTCCGGACTTAAAGTGGATACCGGAAGGACCTCATTTGAAAGTCGGTCAAGTCTGCAAACTCTTCGTTCTCGATGACCTCGTGCATAACGCCATCTAGATAATTGATTTTTGGTCAGATTTGAAGAGAGTGTATACAGAGGGAGACCTACTTTGCGCATCTAGTGCATCCTGCTTGTCCCTTTGGTCATTCCAGCGCTTATGTATCAGTCCCAAAGAAGCCAGTAGACCGATAGCAATAAGCAAAGACACAAGCATGGTGTATTTGGCGATCTGTTTAAATAAGTATACAGATTAGTACCATACCACCTTTATAGTCAGAGTTATGTACTTACCAAATACTCAGGTCCATCTTTTTCTGTGTATGTCAAAGGTCCGACAATGCTGCCGAAAGTAAAACCAAGCTGATAGGAGGCGCCGAAGGCAACCTTTTTCGTCGAACCACTAACACCGGCGGTCATAAATGTAACGATGAAAAGGACAGCGATTGGAACTATTCGACAAGGTTAGCAAACGTATCTTCCCTATAAAATGTTAATAACTCACACTGTAAGGTGATAATGTATCCACCGTAACGACCAGCAGGGTTACTTTTGGGGATAGTAAACATCATGATGACACCAATGCAAGCCAGGGCCACAGTCCAGATGCCTGCAATAGTTCGATTTGTATACTTCGCCACGACCAAAGCAACACCAGTCCCAATAACAGTCGCAAATCCAGGAACCATGCTCAAAAGTGTAGTTTGCTCAGTATCAAAACCAAATTGTCCAATGATTTCCGGTCCTATAGAGAAAACTTATGTTAGATTAGCGAACCAAGAATTTGGCTGAGTGGGAACGTACCAAAGACAGTAAGGCCTCCATTAGGCAATCCGGTAGATGCTAAGAGCAGGAAAATGATGTACAAACGAGGGTCGAGAAAGGTTTCCTTCAGCTGGGACCAGTTGAAACGCCAGACCTCAGTGCCTGTCTTGTTAGATCGGACTCTTTCGAGGGCAATAACCTTCTCGTCATCCGTAAGCCACTTCGCCTCCGTAGGCGAGACTGCCAAAAAGAAGTAAAGAACTACGCCGGTGATAAAGGTGAGAGACCCATAAAACAGGAACAAGGCTTGCCATCTGAAGCTATTAGCTTGGAAAATACACCAAGCGAAGAAGCCCCCAAAGATATTAGAGAATCCAGAAGTGGTGTACCAAAGGGCTACTCGCAGGACTTGCTCGGTTTTGGTATACCAGGATCCCAGGATGATGATGACAGCGGGTGCCGTACAAACCTCGGCGAATCCTAGCAAGAAGCGGACGACTAAAAAGGTTGCGAAGTTGTTGCACACGGCATGCATCAGAACGACGATTCCCCAAAGCATACACATGATTGAAAAGTATTTGCAAAGTGATAGGCGTTGCATCATATAGCTGCCGGGGAGCTCGCCAGCGAGGTATCCGAAGCTGTCAATATGTCAGCGGCGCCACTCGCATTAGGGGTTAGGAGACGCACTAAACGATCGACCCGAGCCAGGAGAATTGGAAGGTATTGAGACCAGTCTCTTGCCTGAGCCCCATAATCCCAGCGAAAGAAAGACCACTTTTATCCTACGCCGGACAGTTAGCAAGTTAGGAAAGTATGTCTTACATAGATACACTTACCAGTAACATAAGAAGGTATACGCAAAAACACATGGGCATAATTCTCATATCGATCTTTCGCAAGACCCGCTTGGCCTCCACGGAGTTTGGCTCGAAGTTAACATTGTGATTAAGAAGCAGCTGGCGAGCTTTGTCCTTGCTGGCTGCCCGTGCATCTACTTTGACCTCAGTAATAGATCCATCGGCGACAGAGGCCTGCGTGGAATATTATTAGCAAATCTTCCCTAATCGAACGAACACGTCAATCACTGCCGACCTTCTCTAGATCCTTTATCGATGACATGACTTCGGTATTTTCAAATGTGTAGGTAAGTGAATGAATGTACTTAAGACCAGCTGCAGAACTATTAATGATAGAGAGAGACACCCAGGCTTTATATACTATTTATAAACCCAACGACAACTACGAAGATAGCAGCTAAAAGAAAGAGGACTGACTTCTCGACAGTATCCATCTAGTATAAAACTAGCTAGATAGCACTGGGTACTTAACCAATTGCTCAAAGTAGAAAAACTTGTTCCATCTGGGGATTCGCCAGATCCTTGGCAGCTAGGACGTCCAGATTATGTATAGTTAGGGATAATGCAACTTCAGTTGCAGCCAAGTCTCTAACTCACTGCGTAAGTCTCCACATTTGAGTGGAGTGGCTCATCCAACAACCCATCATGAACTCTTACACCTCTGCTCTAACTATATTAAAGTTGGATATACTCCTGAAAGTCTGATCGTCCGTAATAGTATGTCAGCGTAAAACAACTGTTTCTATTCATGAAACTTTAGGTTTCATTGATCTTACCACACTACAATGCCTTTTATCCTGTAGGTCTGTTCCCCATATATCCTATGTGAGAATCTAGTTGAGTCATCGGCTGAGCTGCTGGGTGTTCTCAGCGAATGGCCGTCACGTAGTATATACTCAAATAATACTTAAATATTCGAAACGATAGATTGTGTTTTCTAAAGTTTGGCAAATCATTTTATTAAAAGTTTCCATTTTTTTATTTTTTTATTTTTTCAAATTCGGTTTCTAGGTCCCGACAGAAATATTTGTATGATTATTTAATTACTAATATACTTTTAATTTTTAAAGTTATATGTAAACCTGTTATCCCTAATATAAATAAAATAGGTGAAACAAAAATCTTTATAATCGACTGGCTCTCGATTTATACGTCAGTGGCATATTTATATATTAGTCATTATTCTCAGCCGCAAGTTATTATAAAGGGGCTGTGGAGTTTAAAGACGGGCGTGGTGTCCTTGGAGAAACAATTCGGGCTAACCACAGTCAAGTCGAACAAGGATGAGTTCCATGTGGTAGTTTGTTCGTGTTGAAGTTGCTTGGTGTATTCAAATTACGAAGGAAAAAAGCCAGCACCAACGAAAATGTTTGCCCAAACATCTTCATCGGTGACGACGAACCCTGAGTTATCAGCTTGAAGTAGAGGGTGACTCTCTGGTGCAGGCGCACCTCCAGCCTCCGATAGAAGTTGACTTAGATTATTTGGTAGCCATTGGCCTCTCCTTAAAGCTTCTGGAATCTTCAAATGGGCGGCACTACCAGCCAGGTTGCCCGGATCAATATTGGAATTCTGAAGCCTCTCCTTTCGTTTCTCTGAGAAATCTGACACAGCTTTGTCGAGGAACTTGGCCTGGAGTGCACAACTAGATCCTGGGGGAGAATTTTGTTGGGAAAAGACATGCGCTGTAGCTCGTATAGCATTAATAGTATTCGACTCTATTTGGCTAACAATTGAAGGCGGGGCGGAAAGAAGCAGCTATAATAGGCAGGGTGTTAGCAAAGTATATCGAGGGAATAGATTAAGTGATGAGGACGGTGAATGTAACCTTGATAAGAAATTGGACGCTATAAGCAACCATGACGTGGACCGAATCTTGCACAAAATAGAGGTATGAAGAGTAACGAGATAACAATTGCAACGTCTCTATAGCACTCGAGTAAGCAACCCAGAGTAACTGTAGATGTAGGGATAAGTCTCGATCGCCAGAATTGAAAATGGCCTGTAAAGGGATCGAAAAGAGCTGCAGTTGAAGGTGTGTTCCATAGAATCGAATCATGAATGGGTGGCAGCTTTCATCCTCTTTTATGTCTTAGACTATGCGTTTCAAAAATAGGGGGGGTATGGGAGGGGAGATATCCTGGAACGGCGGGATGATGAGATAACTCACCTTTATTCATGGCTTGCACCCATACGTTCTCCCACGCCTTTATATGCCCATTAATTATATTTAGCAGGGACTCAACGTTACATAGGGACCCATCCCCATCACTTCTCTGAGATTCTTGACTAAGTATGTTATACACTAAAGAAGTTATTTTACGTAGTGTAACGAAAGCACCGAGAAGGTGATCGTTGGAGGTCGCCATCGGGTCTTTACACCAGGATTCAATCGATTCTACGAAATCGCTATGCTCTATCATCCATGGCTTCCCCATTTGCAAACTCATGCTGATCGAACGTTAGTCAAATCTTGATATCATGACAGGGACTATATGGGATTTTCTTACCTCCTGTCATAGACAAATAGCACATACCACGTACGCTCGATGTTGCGTACCTCTCTCCTTTCTATCTCTGTCATTGAAGCACGACTCTGAGACGAGTGTGATATCATTTTATGCCAACCTAAGTCCATGCACATTCTGATAACATACCCCAATGAGGTCCACGCGCGAGTATCTTCTGGCTCTTTCCAATAGGTAAGGATCAATATCGCCTGAACAATTTCCGTAGACCTTTTTCCGCTTCGGAAGACGTCTACAAATAGGCTTTGGGTGTGGTTATAGAGCCTTTTATAAAGAGCCGGGTTAAATGTCTTTGCTGACATAGTGAGGATGGCGCTGAATAAAAATGACGACTTCTGTCGAACGTAGGCGAATGTGTGCAAAGCGGGATCGAGTTGGCTAATGTACGTATTTAGAACATCTATGAAGCTAGGGAGGGCTGCTATTAGCCAGCTTTCTACACAAATGAAGGAGATACATATCAGACAAACTTTTGAAATAGAGATTTTGCTATCGAAAGATTGATGTGGCCGAGCCGAATAGGATCTTCAGTCGGAGGGAATGACGATCCATTGCGTGGTTCGAATGGATGGCTATCGCCTGCGCTCAAGATATGTCCAAGGGAGAATCCCCCATTCAAGAGATCGCAATTTCGCAGTCCTGAAGGTTGTAAAGTCTCTTGCTCCGGAACTGCGACGTTCTTCATGCTATGGCTTGCTGGCGTCTTAGAGTTATCAAAAGACTCGGCATATCCGCTTTCACAGCCAGATAAAGCAGGGACTGTCATCACAGGAGCATCCTTTCTTTTCGGAATCCTGGTCACGATATCCGTCAGCCATATTGATGTAAAGAGAATGGTTACCACGGTTCTTCCCTAACCTTGTTCCTGGTTTACGGCCACGCTGGTGTTCCTGAAAGATGCAAGCCAGCGACTTGCGAGCACAGCGTTTGCACCTGGAATCTTCATCGTCATCGTTCGGACGGCATTTCATTTTTACCTTCCGGCATGGGAGGCAGGCATTGGGACTAGCCATAATTCATTTCAACGGTCCGTCAACGGAAACAGTACACCGGAAGGCTCACCTTGGCCTCTGAATTGAGGGGTTAACACTGCTACCATCCATGCTGCATATACACAAGGTATCTCACCTGACTTAGTATGGCCTAGAAGTGAGCAACACCGAGACTTGTCGTGTAGATTGTATCAAAAGGGATGAAAGTGCTTTGATTTGAGCCCCCCTTGTTTCGGCAAATTAGCGAAATGAGTTTATCTGCCCCATACAAAGTATAGATGCGGGGAAATGCAGCAACTGGAGCGGGTCCGGGTCAGGTTGATAAGACTAAGTCATTCGTATGAGATGATTGGTGTGTTTTGTTACGGAGCATCAGAGAGGAAGTCTCGGCGTTGTGGGGCACCGGCAATCTAAATCAAAATTTTGAACACCGGCGGAAACTAAATCTGTGGTTTAAACGCCGGTACCGATCAGACCCAGTGCGGGTCCAAAACGTGTTGCATTATCCGAAGACCCGGAAGAGGATATTAGGTAACTTATTCAAAGCCAACCAGATCCGAAACGACGCTCATACGCCCGAGAGGTGCCTCATTTTCAACTAGCCAAATTTGGTGTCGATAACTTATAAATCACTATTGCGATAGAGTCAACCCTAAACCCATCAGAGGAATACCTGAATCTACAAATGCAACTCTGAGAGTTATTGTTGATTTGTGCATTACTCAACAATGAAGATTAGCCAGGTACTAACTTCTGAAGGGATTTGGGTTTCCAAAGACACAGGCTAAGGGGAGACAGCTATACACATATCCAGTCAAGTCCCTAAGGGAAACGCCCATAAGCGAGGCTGAGGTATCGAGGCATGGCTTCCTCTACGATAGACGATTCATGCTCCTCAAGGTCCATACAGATGATTCACCCTCTGGATGTCGGCTGAAAAACATGCACGTTGCTGACTTCCCTGCCCTTACCCGATTCTTGACCAATATCAAATTCCCGGAAGACGACGACGATGTTGGCGAGCTGTATATCAACTGGAGCAAACCAGGATCCGATGATGTGAAGTCGCTCACTGTCCCGCTTAGACCCGACACTTCTGGTCTGGAGCTCATCGAAATCACCATGCACAGTAGTCCCACCAAGGCTTACGACATGGGCAGCAAATACAACGACTGGTTCTCCTCCTGTCTGGGCTACGATGTCGTATTTGCTTATCTGGGCCCATACCTCCGAAAAGTGTTGATGTCCACAAGGCCGATCCGCCAGCCAAAGTCGAATGGCGGCTGGTTGTCTAGCATAACGAGTACCATTCTAGGTTCTGCAAATGACGAAGAGCAGGTGACATTTGCTGACGGTGCAGCTTACCTTGTGGTGTCCGAGACGTCATTGCAGGATGTCTCCTCTCGATTACCGGAGGGGCAGGAAATGGACATCACCAAGTTCAGACCAAACATCGTCGTCACTGAGGCAGATAAGATATGGGATGAAGACTTCTGGCATGAGATCCAAATTGGCGACATCAAGATTACCCTGGCTCAAAACTGTGGTCGATGTAAAAGCATTAACATCGACTATGCAACGGGCGCTCCAGGAAAGGACCAGACGGGCAGGATTTTGGCCAAGCTGCAAAAAGACCGTCGCATCGATAAGGGCGCCAAGTACAGTCCAGTATTTGGAAGATATGGCTTCCTGGTATCTGGAGGTGAAGGAAAGCGTATTGCTGTAGGGGATGAGGTCACGGTCACCAAGAGGGGCACCGAGTATACAAAATTCGGTAAGAGGACAAACCACTCAAGAACTCAGAAATCTATACTAATTCCGCATACACAGACTGGCCTGGCGTGGCAATTGAAGCGTAGTAATTGAATGAATGAAGATGGTCCCTTGTCTCAATGGCCTTGAATTTTCTAGTAAGTGTATTGGAGACACTATGAAATCATCAATCCTGTTGTGTAGTAGAATGACGTTACTTATAAACAATATTCTAATGCTTTTGTTTCAAAATATTGGTATCTAATTACAGTCATAACCCATATGAATCCTGATACGTTACACGCTGGCCCTAAACTCCTGTAGGATCCTGCCTGTTGTAGAAATTGTTTGCTCTCTCGCAGCATTCAGGATTAGCCTTATCTAGGCTATTAGCTTCAAGATGAGTTTTTAAAGTAGGCTTTACTGCAGTATTAAACCTTTATTCTGGCTTGGAGGCTACAAAGACCTCTACGGAGCTTTACCCTCCAGGACCGCCGCAACATCAGCCTCCAAATCCTCTTTAGGTAACCCCAGCCTCTCGTTGTACAACTTCTCGCCTCTGAAATCGCCCAGATTCTCATCTCCCAGCTTGCCCCAGGTCATCGCCTGAATCAGCCCCGTAAGGGCGCCAGAGTCGCCCTTCTGAAACTTCTCTAGGCTGGTCTGTGACAGCTCCCTGCCGTTCACCGGCACCTTTTCCCACGTCTTGCCCGTGATTTTCTCCAATGCAGCCAGGATTTCCTGTTGGGTAGTCATGTGTGATGCTATGTGGATGTATTTGTTCTGCAAGTCTGCGAAGTTAGACGGCGAGGAAAGAAGCGAGAATAGGGCGTGACTGATTGTGTGTAGGTTTGTAGCGCCAAACGGAACAGTCCCAGCGTCGAAGAGCTTGGCCCTGTGGCTCTGAAGATCAAAGCCGAGGAAGCCGACCTTGAGGCCCTACGTATTCGTGTCTCAGCAAAGCCACTCGTCCAGAGAATGGTGGATTACGACCACGTACCAAATCAAAGAGCGCGCCGTTAATGACGGCCGTCCAGCTAATCTTCCCCTCATTGGCTTTCAGATACTCGACAATCTGCCTCTTGCCGCCAAAGATTGGCACAGCGTCCCTCACCTTATCGTCGTACGTCCGAGAGCCAAACTCCGACGGAATAAATCGCTTCACGCCCGCTTTAATAGCCGCATCGATGATTGTCTTCTGCAAATGTATGCCGTCATAGCCTAGCATTGAAATAACTACATCTTGGCCCTTTAAGGCCGATTCAAGGGACGCGATTGTGTAATCTGTCCTGATGACATTAATTCCGGAAGGAAGGATCGCGGTCGAATTTTGTCGGGTGAGGGCGGAGACTGTGAAGGGGGCTTGGGCATTGTGTAGGGAGAGGAAGTGTGTGATTACCGGCCCGCCAAGGTCGCCGCTTGCCTGGGAAACGGTCAGAAGATTACGCGAGATGGGAAGAGGTGAAAGGCGGACATGTTGCGAGCTAACTACCTAAACCTAGCTAATCTGAAGCTTGGATTGAACGAGAGGAAATCTTCAGAATCGGTCCTGTAAGTCGGGAAGTACTCACTCCTATGAATATGACGTTCTTAATCTGAGTCGGCATGATTTTCTTTTCAAGCTCGAATGGTCCCAAACGGATAAATTTCCAATATCAATTTATTAAAACATGATGACCGTGGAGCTCTGCCAATATTAAATACGTCCTCGTTGCATATGTCCTGTAACGGCGCCGGGAATGACTGTCCTAAGCATCCGAACGTTAAGGATTAGAGTGTCCAATTTAACGGCGGTTAGTGTCAGATATAAATATCTGTCCGACATATATATAAAATGTAATAGAATAAAATCTGTTACCGAATAACCTTTTAGTGGTGTAGCGGTATGTCGACAGTTAGCCGGCCGTCCCCGTCCGCTATCCACAGCTCCAACCGGTGTCCATTTTTTTCAACTCGGCGTCTTTAAACAGAAAGTAAGCCAACGTTAAATCGCCGGCGAGTGATAGGCAATATAGCCGAAATTTCCTTTGAATAAAACCTGTTTAATTTGAATCGATACGGTTTTTATTAATCATGATAAGGATTAAATATCTGTTGCAGGACTTTTGTAATAGAAAGCCAATTGATTACCTTAGGTACCTAGGTTAAAGAGAATGAAGCCAATCCACAACTTAGTGAAGTGATATAAAACATTGCTCATAAGCTTGTAAGTTATTTTGACGTAACTACGCGCAAAGCGCAGATTTAATATATTTCCGAAAGCGCGGTTGGGTATACGCAAATTTCCATTTTATATAATCCTATACAATTCCTTATTAATTATTTTGTACCTTTTCAATTTCCAAAGTTTGGACGTGAAAGTTCCTTTAGAAAGATAATAACTATAAAGTACTTTAGGTAGTTATATAGTCATTAGCTCGTTACTGTTGCGTAATAATAATAATACTTATTCCAAAGAAAGATAAGGCCTACGTATAAGGCAACTTATCCCGGTGATTTTTGATTTCCATCACTTCTTTTTGTTTAATCGGCTCTAATCTCCGAAGAATCTCAAGCTGTTTTTTTTTTCGTCGGTTTCACACGGTGTAAGTCACATCGACATAATAGAAATCTTAGGCGACCTCAGAAGTATGGACAACAGCGATCCGACGCGGCCAAGAGTTAATGTTCGCTTGCGTGTCGCCAACGCCTGCGACGGCTGCAAGGCGCATAAAGGTATGCTGCACTGATTTACTGATATGCCGCCTGTCTCTATCCAGTCATCTGCAAGTGCAATCTGACCTCAGAGATGCTCACTGGCACCGCCTATATCTTTTCCGTATGTCGTGAGCTGCCACTTTCCCTAAGAAAACGAACATGACCCTGCATCACAACTGCCGATGCCTTACAGCGGGTGATGGTAAGAATACATGGTTTCAAGACCTTTATGACTGACGCCTTCTCGCCTCAGTCAAGTGTGACGGCGCCCTTCCTTGTGCATATTGCACCCGCCGGAAACGGTCGTCAACATGCCACTATTCGCCTCAGCAATCACGCCGTACATCGTCGCCTAGAACGCACCGGCCAGCACGCACCTTCAGGGGAGACCGTGCATCATCAGCGACAAGATCAGAAAGCCATTCAGATAAAAGTGCGCATTCGAAAACGGATGCACACCCATACTATTATAGCCAGTCGCCAGTCTACCGCGAGACGCAAAGTGATACGCAAAGGGGCTCTTCGCCTCTGGCTACCCCAGACCCGGTAGCGTGTATCGAGCCGTCGCCCGAAGATAGGCGCGAGCAACAGGAACGACAGTGGGACGCAGCGAAGAGCGCGGATGTCCGAGACGACGAGCCTGAGGTTCCGAGAGAGGCAAGGCTGCTGTGCGATTCGCAGGGAAAGCTCAGTATTTACTCCCTTGCTGCCTCTCAGGTATTCACTATTACTGACCTTGGAAAGTTTTCATCGGAGACTGTGCCCCTCTTTCCTTGTTCCAGACTGTCCGTCAAATCGTCAACTCGCGCGTGGACCCAGGAGCATTCGCCCTGCAAACAGGCTATTCGCCTGTTCTCAAGGATGAGAAAGCACCACAGCCATTACGAGACGCCAGTGAGGACCTGCAGGTTCGGATGGCGGACATCCCCCGAGTCGTGTTGGGGTATGAGTCGGCCGTTAGTATTTCCCAGATCACCTCACCGTTGTCTTTTGATTCTATCTATCTCTCCTCGACGCAGCAGAAGTGCTACTAAGTTGTGATAACGCAGAGCGAAGCTTACAAGTCCTATGAAACTGTACTAATATGCAGATACAGACCACCGGCCTCGTGGATCTCTTCTCACATGTCAATCTCTTGAATGATGTTACCTCCTGGGCTGCCCATTCACCACGACCGGGCAACCCTATGTTCTGTGTTTATATGCTTGTCCTTGCAATAGGATATCAGGAGACGAACGATGAGCTCGCGGCTAGTTACTTCGAGCTTGCACGCAACAATGCGCTTGCACGATTTGGAGGGAACTCCGATGTTGCAACTCTTCAGACATTTGTCCTAATAACACTTTACATGTTAGGCTCTTGTCAGTCCAACAGCGCTTTTTTGTACTTCGGTATGCCCGCCTCCCCGATCGCCTCGGTCTCTGCAAATCAGCTAATCGTTATAAGGCACCGCTGTGCGAGTCGCCCATTCGATCGGGATCCATAGAACAGAGATGAACGCTCGTTTTGGACCCGCGATTCAGTGCCACAGGTTTGCTCCGACGCCAACCCCTCACCCACTTCTCACGGGGAAGCTAATTAGTGCGGACGTAGGGACCGATTGTGGACTTCTCTACGTGTCTTGGACCTTTATCTCTCTGCTTCTATGGGTCGCCCGCCAGCAACATCGGATATCGACTGCACTGTGTCATACGTCGCCATGGATGAACGGAGATGTGAGAATATCGACCTTCTCAACGCCTCCTCGCAGATCTTCCTCATCATGGAAGCGATCGTCATCGAGGTCTACTCTCGCAGAAAGGTGTCTTACCAGCTGACAGAGGGGATATGCTGTCAGCTTCGGGAGTGGTCGACGCGCTGGCTGCCTAAGCTGAACACAATCGTTGGGCAAGCAATTAACACAGCCGACGGCGCTCACGATATCAATGACGGTCAAGAAGGTCAAAACGAGACCAAGCACCAGGACGTTAGACTTGTGAGCGGGGCTTGTCAGGTCTTATGTTGTTATTACTACGGTACGATGTCCATTCTGTTCTCCTCGTCTCGTTTCACTCAACATGCCATGGGCCCAGGTTACTTACTAACTAACTAATTAGCGGTCATGTTGGTATCGAGACCTTTCCTGATGTACGAGTTGCAAAAGCGGCTTGAGGACGACACCACTTCGGCTACGTATAGCAAAAGCAGCCCGATTTCCGGGAAGTCCAAGCTTGCAGACGCCTGTGTTGATTCCGCCAGCTTTATGGTTGACCTGGTAACCTCTCTGATGTCGAAGCGTTGCCTCAATGGTCACAGGCCTGTGGTCGTGTAAGCGTACATCCCTACTTCGATTTCGCATTCATACTTCCACCCGTCTTTTGGAGGGGTATTCATTTGGAGATGGGCCTTTTTGGACACGGCTGATAAACATGCGCTTCCATCTAGCTCCTGGCTGTTTGCGTCCTCTCTCGTGCTGGGTGCCGGTCTCCTGGGCTCCTTCGGCCGCATCGAAAAATATATGCGCAACGCGATCCAAGCCTTGGAGAAATTCGGCACCACTGATGCCCACGCCCTACAATATTCTCGCATTGCGCGCTCTTTCCTCGATTCTGCGTTAGAGTATCAAGAACGAAAGGAGATGCACAGTCGTCTTCAACGGACCGCGCACTCGTCCCAACTCTTTGGCCTAGTCCGCATTTCTCACCACGACGACCAGGGCGTCGTGACGAGGACACGCGAGAATACGCGCGATGACTCTCGAACAATCACCAGTAATAGGCCAACAGGGGCGACGACGGAACACGCCAGCCTTAGCCACGACGTGTGTACTGTCGCGCCGGACTACATCGGTCTACGATGTCCCGAATCTCCGCATGTTGACATGGGCCTTAATTCATCGTTATCGTTGTTGGAGAGCGACAGGCCAAATTCGGCATCAGCTAGCGTTCAACTCGATGGATGCGGATCCAAGCAATGGATAGCTGACGAAGTGACGCTCAACTTGTTTGGCTTTTTGAACGAGCCAGGAGACCTTAACTTCGGCTTTTCATCAAGGCCTAAAACAACACCTTTTAGCCAACATTCTCACCGTTTCGGTGATTCGGTTAAAGATAAATAAATTATAAAATAAATAAATATTTTTTTGAAGTTAAAACTTTATAATCGTCAAAAAATTGTTAAATGTTTAAATTAATAATTCATGTAAAAACTATTTATTTCAATTAACAGGTAGTTGTATAAAATATCTTAGTTAAGTTTTATGTAAACATTTCTTTCCTTATACTTTTCATCTTAGCTCGTCATTTATCAATACTGCTCGCTTTGTGGGCCCTGACGAGTACTGCCTGTAGTGAGTTTAAAACCCGGCATGTTCGTCGCACACAGCCGAAAGCTCCTTATAGATATGAGACAAAAGAAAAGTTTCCCCTTGTCAGATCCCGGGCGGTAGTTCGTGGACAGATTATCAACCAGCATAAAAACTTAAGAATCGAAAGAAAAAAACTAAATAAAACCCAGGCTCTAATACTGTATGGAGACTCCCCTTATCGTGAGCTAAATAATGACCCGGCCCGGATCGGATGACCTTCGGAGTCAGATTTCCTTTCCGTTCCGAGTCCCTAGCGCCTATAGTATCGGTGTCGTAGTATTATCAGTGGAGATGTTCGGATCTATTGGTCTTGGCAATTCCATCGTTCACGACCCGATTTATTCTCGGATGCATTGCTAATCCCAATGCCCCAAATACCTGCTTGTACTTTCAGGACAGCGGTCAACGCATAAGGCATTATAGTGCGTGTCGATCTTGTATTTGGTTTACATGTATGTACCCGTCACCTGCTGAATGCGACTTGGGCCCTTCCCTCTCCCGCTTTTCCTTAGTACAACACTGGGAGACTTGGGCAGGAGAATACTACGCCGAATTAAGTAGTCTTGTATCAAACCTCTGGGCCTTCCTATGACACCTGTGCCATGGCAACCAAAGGCGAGCTCGACACATCAGCTTGTGACGCCGTCTTCCAGCTTTACGACCTTCGGGTGGACGTCGTTTGTCCAGAGGGTGGGAGGATCATTTGTGGGGCCAAGCCAGGAGACCATTTCACTCTTGAAGGAGAGATGCTGCGATTGCCTCCTGGGCAGGGAATTTCGATATACAGCCTCGGTAGGTCTCCTTTCTTTCTGCTCATGGTCCAAAAGGTTCTTCGTACATACCGCGACAACATCGGAGCCGCTAACTTGAAGTCTTCGGGCAGCATCCGTTCTTCCTCTGCTGGCTGCCAAGCAGAGAGTGACGCATCCGCATGACTGGATGACCACAGACGCCGTAGTTGCCTGTCCGGATCCTAATTGCAATTCGGTTCTTAAAATCGTGAGGACAGGGCTGAGGACTTTCAAACACTCCGAAACTACGGTGGTAGGGTTGGAAGGTAACGCTTGACTGGGCCGAGTCAAATAATGACATGGAGAAGTATATAAAATAAAATAAAAGGGTCAATATGGCATTTCGTGTTAGTCATGCTAGTAAGAGCATTATTTTCTTATGAGGAGACATAATGTGGTAAAAAGTGAAATTTATTCATGATGCTTAACTACTTCTAGGCTTGTGATTTGGTAGATTTTTTCTCCGTAGTGGAATGAAAAATGAAATGACAGCTTGTACTTTTTACAAATGTTTCTGTTAAAATATATGAGGTATGGATACGATAGTCAAGACAACTTGATCGTAGCGGCGCGGAGCTTATACTGGTCGGCCTGAACCTGCCCAGGGTTCTATTTGCGCCGACGTCGGCCATTGGAACACCCTTATACATAAAAAAAAGACGTCTCACTCTGCTTCGGATTCCTCCGCCTTAACCAACTTGCTATCAGCAGGAGGAAAGCGAGAGAAGGCCAATACGGCAACGGCGACGATCACTACGCCCTTTTGGCAGATATCCGTCAGCGCTCGATCTTGGGGAATTGAAGACAGCAATTCAAGCTTCAGGGATAGGAGGAGGGGCTTACCGCGTTGCAGAAAAAGGTCAGATATGCCTTGCCAAACTCGGCAAATGCCGCGAACACGAAGCCGAACAGACCCAGCGTCGAGAGCATCGCAATATTCTCAATTAACGTCAGAGCCTGTAAAGCATCCGCCCGCTGAGACGCGGGGCACATCTCCACGATGACTCCCTTGGCAGCGGGCGCGGATCCGGATGCAAGCGGCAGAAGGAATGCAGCGACGTAGATGTGCCAGCCCTTGGTGGCAAATGCAGTATAAGCCGTAACGAACCCGTCAGCTACAAGACTCCATCTCAGGAACGTCAGGTCGAATAAGCATCCCGCTTTTTGGTCAACCGCAACCAATGGCTCGGCAGGTTCTTGCTCCGGCATGATACCCTGGATAGGGTCAAAGTCCTCTGGATGGGTGGGAAATGAGACTTCTCCACTGTGAGTGGAGGGAGCATTAGGGAACGGTTGAACAGAGTACCACCTTCGGCCAGCGGTGATAATGCGGGGGAACAGAAATATGAGAAAAATACCCCTGATTAATGAGTTCAAGCTCATTACATAACCATTCTCAGTGGAACGGAAGCCAAACTCGGCTGTGGCGTACATCTGGATGAGGATGGGTGCATACCCTGTCCCTAGAACACCCAGGAAGATACCGAGACCGAGAAAGAGCACTCCAGAGTTGGTCACGAATTTCCCGTCCTGTCGCACGTACTTCTTGGGAGCAAGGGTGTGAAGAAGCGTAAGGAGAGCTGACCTTTTCTGGGCCCCCTTTTGCGACTCGTTATCTGCTAATACTTTGGGCGATATGTACGGCGAAGCCAAGATCACATACACGGTGGACACGACGAATAAACCGAAAGCTGTTTCGAAAGGTGTGATAATGCCGTATGTGTCTCCGACAATACCCCCAACTGAAAATCATAGTAAAGCGCCAAATGTCAGTGCTATGCATTACGAGTCTAGCGTCAAGTTCAGGTTAGGATAAAATGGACTTACACAAGAAACCGGCAGCGGTGCCAAGCATCACGGCGCCTTGAAGTTTCCCGAAGAAACCTGTCCTTTCCCACGGCTCGACAACCTCTCCGATGGCTGTGTTCAATACAAACCTGAAAGGCACATTCGACCCGAGGATCAATAATTTGCCTTTAGACAGTCCGAGCTTCCTCAGAGGCTGTATCAAGGGTAATAGGGGGCAATAGGAATTGGGGCTGGACTCACAAATATCCTGCAGGTCCCCCGAGAATCCCGATACACTGCGTTGACTGGATAAGGATGATACCAGCCTGCCCGCCCAGAAAAATAGCCACGGCTTGTATCGCTACCCGCAGAGCTGGGAAGGCTGTCTGGAGAGCCAAGGCTACCCGGGGGCCAGACTTCCTCATCTGCCACCTAGCGACGAAGAGGTTAAAAATCCCGCTGATGGTCGTGGTGATTCCCAACAGAGATATTTGTTTTGCGGTGCCCGCATTGACTTCATCGAGTTGGCATTGATCATCCCCAACCGGGGCTGGGCTATTCTTGTTGTGGGCATAGTAATTCTGGCAAACCATCAGGCGGAAGGCATAAAGAATACTATGAGGAATGGTCAGTGAGTTGTGGTGTCATGGGTCAAGACAGAAAGCAATAAAGGGAATAAGAATCGGCCAAGAGTTAGGCGGAGAGGACCATAGACGCACGGAACTTGAGTGAAGGTGAAAGATAGAGAGATGAGTACACCGGCTATGAGGAGGCGAGTGCTAGGAGTCCATGACGAATGCCTGACTTTCAATTCGGCTGGTGCATGGTCTCGCTGGAGGAGTAATGTACGCTCTTCAGCAGCCATTTTGCTTGTTGCGCTTGGGCGGTAGTGTGGTGAATGAAATGTTATTGTGTCCAACTCCGATTACCCTTTGAGTAAATGTTTTTCTACTAATTTGAGGTTGAATCTTAAGAACGTAATTCATAAATCTGGGGCATATCGCTGCGTGGATGGAGGTCAAATTCGACAGCTCTGGCCGACATCCAAGGCAAGGTCTATGCGACTTACCCCAGTGCACCAGCTAGGATGGGTTTACGTCGTGATAGATAGCCGTGATAACGGAAGTTAACAATTCTTATCACTATTCGGAGTTCTGACTTGTGGCTATACACTAGGTTATCACTGCTCCGATTTCTCGGATACGGGCTAGGCGGGGCCGTTACTTGAATTGAGATTTAAATCATTTTCTCCATATGTACTGTATAATACGGGGCTTCTAGGGAGGGAGTACCATTATGTATGTGCCGAAACACGGGTGCTGCTTTTATACCCCCCCAACCTTTCCTATTTTAAGTCTGATCAGCCATATCTTTACAGGGGGAAGATAGGAAAGTTAGAAATTTAAGACTTGGTTAAGTACCTACATATCTTATCTAAGGCTATAAGAGTAACTTGACCCACTGCAACTAGTTCAAGGGTTGTAGTGTATGGAAGACTCACTGACCATGATAAGTTCCGACGTGCTCCCCCATCGTTAACTCGAGGATTTATCCATCCAATCTTCTTCCTCCTAGCTAGTCAGCCGCTTTTATCTCAACTTACTTGTCTTTGGGACTTAAGAGTTTCTGTAGTCTTTGCACCCCAGTGCGAGAGCTTCCTGGCCTGTGACAACACGCCTGAGATAGGGTCATCACTATCACAGACTCTACTCGAACTCAATATGGAGGCTCCTAAGCAGTCTACCTGGCACAAGACAAAGGGTATGAAGACCATGAGAGAATATTCGAGGTGTGGTAGAATCTAATTTTTCATCATTAGTGCTCTTCCTCGGAGACGAGGCCAAAAGCAAAGAAGAGACGAAGCTTGTGCGAAAGCTTGGTGAGTGAAGTCATCTACGCTACCTACATGTGGTGGCGACAGCTATTAACTCCGGAGATAGATTTCTTCATCTTGGTCAGATACTACACTTTCTCTTTAGCTTAAGAAAGCAGTCTGCTGGTCACAATCTAACCACCACCGACCGACAGACTTACTGCTGCTTCAGCTCTTTCTTCAACTTCTTAGGTATGCAACCCAGCAAGTGAAGGGATGACTCTGTTGCCATCAATGCGCTAACAGTAGAACAGATCGAGCTGCCTTTGCAAACGCCTACGTATGATTACTGAATACTTCGCTTTGTCGCAATTCGAAGATTGGCGTATGGCCCGCTAATATGTTCATTAGGTGGCTGGTCTTCGAGAAGAACTTGACCTTGACGGAAATCAATATAGCATTTTGCTCTCCTTAGCAACTGTTGGGTATATTTTCCCATCTTCGCACACGAGACCAGGGCTTTCATCCCTGGCAGATATCAGCGACTAACTGGAGCACGCAGATACACCATCGGTCAGATTCCCCATGGTATCGTTATCCAGAAAATTGCGCCTCGCATTTGGCTGCCTAGTTGTGTCCTTGTATGGGCTGGCTTGACAATGGTAGGCGCATCGCTTAAGCTGCTCTCAGGCTTCATTCTATAGGATTCACTTCTGATCTTTCTTCTCCCTCAAGGCTACCGCCGCCTGCAAGAATTTCGCGCAGCTTGCCGCTATCCGCTTTCTCTTGGGTCTGGTTGAGGCGAGCACGTATTGTGGAACGATATACATCATCGGGTCCTGGTAGTACGTGTGCCTTTCTCTCCTTCACATGGAAATCATTGAGCTCTCTCTCTCTCTCTGAGAACTTTTACGCGTATCCACCTGCAACAATACAGAATAGCAGTTGACTGACTCAAAATGCGACGCTTATAGTAAGCCCAGAGAGATTGCCAAACGTACAGCTATCTTCACAGCCTCGGGCCAAGCAGGTACTATGTTCGCAGGTATCATGATGACGGCTATTCACCGCGGTATGGACGGACTCGCTGGTCTTGCAGGCTGGAAGTGGGTGTTCATTATTGGTCAGTTGCATCCCTACTAATCGTTCCTCGAATCCTCGGGCCTTGACTGATCCCCCGCCAAGATGGTATCATCACATGTCCTATTGCCATTTTTGGCTACCTGTGGTTCCCTGATACGCCCGAGACCACCAAAGCACCCTTTTTTAGGCCGTCTGAGAAGCAGCTCGCTCTCGATCGCCTGCCGCCAAAGAAGGCGGACGGCCACAACATCAACCCTTGGTCTCTAGCCAAGCGCGTGTTCGGGTCCCCTGCATTGTATGTTGACAATTTCTACCTTGAGGTTATCCCTATTTTCCTTCACCTGGCTAACTCTGGTGCTTGTAACCAGTTACATTCTCTGCTCCTTTTCCTTCGTCTGTGCCGCACTCGAGGCCTATTGTATACAGAACTGCTTCCTCCTGTTCCTCAAGTATTACAACCAGCACTTCACTCAGACGGAGGTCAACACTTTTCCACTCGGTATCCAAGGTGTTTCAATAGTCGCCAACCTCTTGGCCTCGGTCTACATTGATGCTACGGGCAAGCGAGTTCCCATGGGAGTTCTTGCGTGCGCCCTCCAAGCCGTTTCCGTCGTGCTTCTGATGATTCCAAACATAAGTTTCGCAGGCACGTTCGTCGGATTCTACCTATCCGGCACCGCCTACATCGTCAACCCCTTGCTCTTCGGCTGGGCTAACATCATTTGCCAACGTGGCGGAGATGACGCACTCAGGAGCGTCACCCTATTCGCCATGAATACCACGGCCAACATTCTGTACACATTCTGGGGCATCGCCTTCTATAATGCCAGTGATGCCCCATACTGGCGCAAAGGCGGTATCGCGATGAGTTGCATCATTGTTTTGCTCTTGTCAATGTTGTGGGTGGTACACTGGCTTGACAATTGGACTGCGAAGAAGTATCCCGAGATCTCGGTTCTAGAGGCGATACGTTTGGATCTGGTTGACAAGGAGGCGCCTATGGCTCCGTCTGATAAGAAATTGAGTATGGAAGCTTCGGTAGATAAGGTGAAGAACTAGGTGGCTACTCTCGATCTCTCGTGGCAATCTGAAGACTATTATGTCTATCACAAAGCCGCAGATGAGATGGAGTCCGAGGCATCATCTTATTAAAGGCCGTACTTGTTCTGCTATGTACAAAATCGGATCTGAGGTGTGAGAATGGGTTGTTGTTTCATTAGTCAAATTGCGAGCCGCCCGTAATATCATTATATCGGAGGTTCCGTCCTGGTCTGGTTCTAAGTGAATATAGAATGAGACTCTGCCATACTTGTCTCCCTTCGGTGTAGTGAATGTCGATATCGTGGCTGATTAGCTTCCGCTACGCGTTCTACTTCTACTTGATATTTCTTATCAAATATTATTGAGGTGGTTCGGCCGCGTTGGAGCCGTATACAGCCGTCACTTTGTAATTTTTAGTGTGGGAAGTCCGTTTGTATGATACGATAGCGTAGATGCAGTGGCTGTATAACATCACGTGATTTGATCCATACGCAAAATACCAATCTTTTTCATGTAGCACACACACATGTAATCATCATCATTATAACAAACAGTCATCACGATAGCTTCATTTTGCGATTACTTTATTCGGTGTAAACCACCACTTAAATTATTATTTGTATTTTATACGGGGTAAAATTTAAATGTTATATTTGTGATATTTCATTAAATATAAATTAACATAAATAATTATTCATGAATTCTTTTTTTTTTTTAAAAAAAAAAAAAAGTGAAAAAAAAGCCTGATTAAAAACGGTCAGTTTTACCAGGGCGACTAATAATAATAACGTAATATTATAAAATCTATATTATAACTCAAGCCTTTCATGGCCACTAGCTGCGACCGTATGCCCGTGCGCTATCCGGATGGAGGCGTGACAGACTACTCGGGATGATACATTGGTCCCTCCGGTCGTCGGAGTTCGGAAGCTCTAAAATACCATATTGATTCCGATGATGTCCAAATGTTCACATTCCGGACCCGAGATCCGTCGTACATTGCCCTCAGCGCGCCAAAAAGAAGAGCGGGGGCAGTGAAGGGAGGTTGGGATTGCCTTATCCCAAACTATAACCGTTCTCATAAGATTGCCCGAAGCATGATCATGGGCCTGCATTGCTTGACGATCAATCTCTAATTCTGTCGAGAATATCCTGTATCTTGGACTTCGCTACTATCAAATCTCATAAGTGTTTGACGATAGGAATGTGGTCACACTTCTGACTATTCAATATGGCTGGACACGTGTAAGTCTCATCGCATGATGGTTCACGTTAGCACACGGCTTACAAGGTGCATTTCAGGAATATGATGGACGATGTCATCATTTCCAATTGTTAGTTTCATCTTTAACCACGAGTTGATGTCGATGTCGATGTCGATGTCCCTGAGCTTTGGAATCTGATGTACTAACGACTTCATGCAGTATCGTTGACATTACTTCGCTCTTCGCTACGCCTCCTTGTCTCTCAAGGCGCGAGGGTTCAGCAGCCCTTCGTCCATCATGTTCGAAGCCGACTGCTTGAGAGCCCGACTGCCCCACCAACTGTAGAGACGATCATAGACACAGACACAAAAGACCTTTCTCCAGCAGCGCAGGATTACCTGGCTTGGAATCGATGCCTCTTTTCATGCAAATTAGCTCAGAGGGGCCTCCAAAGGTGGGTGATTCCGACGCCCCTTTGGATTGGCACGGATATGCTAGACCATCACGATGGACGAAAAAGTCTTAACAAATGAAACGTATAGCTTGGCTCTTTTCATTGAAATTCTATCTCAGGTTCCTCATATAGACGCACTAACGTCCGAGGAACTTCTTGCGTCGCTGCAAATTGTGGATGGGGACACCGTCCAGGCCATTCAAGCACTCAAGGAAACCAGGCCCGACCCGACCCAGGAGCTCCGATCTATCCTTGAAAGTGTTTTACTTGCACTAAAATCACTGAGAAAGAAGTCTTCTGTCGCTGCTCAAGCTTTGGAGCGTTCAGAGCGTCAGCTTCATGACGCCCTCTCGATCTTTTATCCCGATTTTGTGGTCGCAAAGGAACAAAGGTCGGACCCTACACCTATCGAAGTGCATTTTGTGCCCACCAGCAACCAGATAGAAACGTTTCGCTTGGGATCACTTACTGTTCCGCGACTGTTCAATGGTTTGTGGCAGCTTTCGTCCCCAGCATGGGGATCAGCATCGGCGAAGATGCAAGATGATGCACTTAAAGGGCTTGTCGAAGCAGGCCTGACAGCAACCGACATGGCGGATCATTATGTAGGTCAAGACATCCTTCATTTCACCCGGAATTGATTTACAAGCCTTTCTGAAGGGTTCTGGTGACATGGGGACAGTATGCGACGCTTACTTCTATGTGCCGTCTTGCTAAGTGATATAATTGATAGGGCGACGCAGAACTTGTGTACGGTGCTTTTCGGAATCGTTTATCTCCTGCTAGTGTCCGCGACAAGGTGTTCGCCGCAACGAAGTGGTGCGTGTTTGGGAAGTTTACAGACGTTGTGACGCCTGAATGGGTGCTCGCGAAGGTTAAAGAGAGATCTAGACGGCTCGGAGGGCGCGTGGAGCTACTGCAGCTCCATTGGCATGATGTAAGTGACTTGAATACGCTACTGAAACCGATTATACATTCTAATATACTTCTCAGTATTCGTCCAAAGAGTACCTCGACATCTTAGTCGAGCTTGTCAAACTAACAAAGGAACGACCCGAAATCCTGTCGGCTGTCGGGCTGTGCAACTTCGACTCCGCACACACCGAGGAAGCGTGTGAATATCTTTTGTCCAAGACAGGAGAGGTGGGAATCGTATCAAACCAGGTTCAAGTCAGACTTTCCTCATCGAAGCTCAGATATTTGAGTGCATTTCTAGCCCCCAGAGCTGATGAATTCTGATTGTAGTTCTCTTTGATGGACTCTCGCCCACTTATCGAACTGGCGTCCACTTGCACCAAGTACGACATCAAATTGCTCACCTACGGGTCTTTCGTATGTCCGCCCCTACCCTCCTGTCAGGATCCCATATAGTGACGCTAGTTCTGACACCGCCTACCTAAGTGTGGCGGATTTCTCTCCGCCAAATGGCTAGATAAACCAGTCCCAGAAATCTACGGAGACGGAGCCAAGCTCACCCCATCGCAAAGAAAAGTATGCACTAATCTTCACTCTTAACTGAATTATGTTGCTCCGAGTAAAGCCGGACTTTTGGATTCAGGACTAACAGTCTCGACAGTACTTCGACATGATATCCAATTGGGGAAGCTGGGCGGAGTTCCAGAATCTGCTCTCTGTGCTGGACTCAACCGCGAAGAAGCATGGCGTGAGCCTGGCAAACGTGTCGACTCGCTGGGTGCTTCAACAGCCGGCAGTAGGGGCCGTTATTGTCGGTACGCGATTGGGTCTGTCGAGTCATGCCGATGGCAACCTAGCAACATTCAATGTACAGCTGGACGCTGAAGACCTCGAGGCTATTGGCACCTTAGCCCTGGGTGCTAACGGTGAAAGGATAAAGAGAGTATATGAAAAGCTTGGCGACTGTGGTAATGAATATCGAGCAATGCACTGAGATAGTATGAGCAGAAATTATAGAACAGTCTTCCTTGCTTTAGATTATCCATTTGTGTTTCTAGACAACTAGCCCCCATCACCTATGAGGACACACAACTCGGGAATCCTCGAAAAATCTAGAGGCAGCCCATTATTTTAACTATGATCTGATCCACTGGCGTAAGTTATTACGCTTGCTGCTTGTCTTCCCTGCCATGCACCCTAGCGAGCTGCTCGAGACCATCGTTTTCTACGCCGACTTGTATGAGATGCTCTCCTAGATGCTCAAGGACTCTGAACTTGTTGATTAAGAAGGTAAGGGAGTGATCTATCTAGTGGCTGTATAAATAGTAACAGTAAATATAGGTTTGGATTCCCAAGGTAATCAATCAGTAAATTGACTATCTGGTATCCATAAAGAGAAAAAATGTGCTTGGCATTGAGGTGGTCGATGAACAGGACGACTTTTACGTTCAGGGAATCACCGGGGGGGGAGGGGGAAGAGGGCAGTCAGTAGCGAAAAATAAAGGCCCAGTCTTGGCATTTAGCCCTTCTTAAAGAATCGGCATTTACGCATATATAATTCCACCATTTTTAAGGTAGTAAAATTATAAAAATTACCTATAATGATAATAAAGGCTAGCGAGCTAATATATAATTTTTTCCCTTTTTTCAATCCTTTTTTTCATGCTTATTTTGAATATATTATATGGTATTGTTTTGGAGGGAGAATGCCAAGACTGGGCCTTTATTTTTCGCTGGGGGCTGGAGGGATGGAGAAGTGGCATTCGGACACGGCGGATTATGTGCGATGTGTGTAACATTAGATTGTTTGACGTAAAAATCTCCAAGGTTTTTTCCAATTCTGTTCCGAGAAACGCTAGCTGATGCAACGCCTATATGCCCGCTAAGTATGTGGCTCCTCAATTTCATTCCCAATTCTATCAGACAAGCCCTTTCCTAGTTGAGTAGGTAGCTATTGATCAATCGATCCCCGAATAAACATAAACTGGGTATTCTCTAATGTATTCAAGTCCGCTTAGTCAAGTCTCCCGCCTGTATGGTCTCGTCCCTTGTCTGCTTAAGGAAAGGCATCAAAGCTGTTCCTCCGGTACCCGTTAGCTCAGTCGTATCCTTGGTTGACTTGGACACACTCGCCAAGTCGACCTTGTCACCATGCCCCTGTGATGTTTTTGTTTCAGTATTGTTCCCGCGCTTAGATGGTAAGATGATGTATCTCGTTACGATTTGGAGATGTTTATTTCTGAATTCCGTCAAGGTCCTCGTCGCGGCTTGGTACGCATCCCTCAGTCTTTCCTGCTCTGGCGTCTTGGGTGGCACAAGAGCCAGCTCTCGGATGCTTCCCATGCGCGCAACGTGCTCCAAGAATCGTCGGTGAGGCCCGGGCATGTACTCTCGGACCTGTTGATGGAAAGTGGATGGCTCCTTGTTCTGTGTCTCCTTTTCCCGACGCGTCGCCGTATCCGGCGTGCTGTCGCCGTGAGAGATGTGTTCGACCCCGAGAACAATGTCGATGAACTGGATCAATGAGCTTTGCCCGTTGTTTCCTCCCCGCAGTTGCTGCCACTCCCCCTTTCCATCTCCCTCGTCATAGAATACACCCTTCGGCAGTCCTGCGGCTGCCATGTTCTTGCTGCCAGCCAGAAACGGTCGGATCTTATAGAAGAAAACCATGGGGTCACACTTTTCATACATGCGCTCGAGCAGCGTACCTATTTTACGGATGCTCCCGGTCAGAGACTCGAGAGAACCCGTCACGGTATCGTAGTCGCGAGAAGTGATAACGCTAAGCGCGGAGAGCATGGAGGAGACGATCTGTGCACCTTCGGCTTCCATGGCGACGGAGACTAGATAGAACCATGCTTCGTCTCGTGTGCCGGTGAAGGTGTGAAGGACTTCGAGGCGGTCGAGATCGGTAAAATTAGTGATGGGACTGGAGAAGTTCCAGAGATTTAGGCCTGCGTAGGTTGTTACTGGTGGCAGTTCGAGGTGATCGGACACGCTGAGAAGAGGGATGGAAATTGCTGGAGGGAGAATCTATATAGACCGAGTAAGTATACGTCCAGTCAATGTTGCTTTATACTCGCTAACACTCACCTCATGAGCTTTATCTCCGCCCCAGACCCAACCATGGTTCAAGAAGGTGAGAATGACATAAGCTCGGCGCCATTCGGCTTCGGATGTCAATTTCGTCGTTGATAGCACTGGGAGTTGTCTAACTTGATCATGGAACTTTTGGGACTCCAATAAGGAAGGCAGATTATGAATAACCCGCTCCCACGGCGCATAGTAGGGATGAGATAGGCACTTCAAGGGTGCCTCAGATGGTAGAAATCCATTGTCTGTAATGGCGAATTTTTTTAGGTAACCTGCTTCTGTGACAGCTTCCTCTCTTGGTGATGAGATAGCATGAGGAGACATGTTGCGTGTAGGTCAAAAGATTTTGAGATAGAGATGATGGATGTTGTCTTGAGCTTAGGATATTCAAAGCTATGGGAATAAATATGACAAGAGATACCAATAATTAAACCGAAAACTAGGAACTTGGACATGAAGTACCTATTTCAACCAAACTTACTTGAATTTTTCTGAACACTCTGTATAACTTTATCTGCCTTGGTGGACCCCTTTACTTCGCGATGCGTGTTGCGGTTAGAAGCGGATGAAAAGGGGTTCCGGTTCGGATAGCGGATGGTGGATGAAAGGAGCTTCCGATTCGGATGCGGATGACGGAAGCCGGATTTTCAGATGGGGGTAGTGGAAACTTGCGGGTAGATGGCGGGTTTTTCAGCGGACCCCGGCCGATAATACCTTTTTCATCAAGCCAGACTCCGCCATGTAAGACGGGCTACAAAGATGGCGAAAATACCCAGACTCCAACACCCGGATCCCATCATATATCCAGAGTCGTTGCGCATCTCATCCAAATCCGGACTTCAGTCAGCACCTTATCCGTTGCAAATGGTACTATCTTAAGACAGAATGAGCTTCTCGTCGTACGTCGAACAGCTCCGCTCCGAGGGCCAGGCCAAGTTCCCTTCAAATGCCAACACGGCCGAGTTTGCTCGGGAGCTAGATTCCCAAGACCCGATTCGGCACTTGAGGGATGAGTTCATCCTACCGACGAAGGCATCCCTGAAGAAGAAAGCCCTCGACGGGACACTGCCAGGTTAGTCTCCCGCAAAGCATCTAAAGTCCTCCCGTTGAGGGAGTGGCAAAGAATAGATGAACAAAAGTGAGAAGACAGATCGACTTACTCTTTATTCAGATGGCTCAAAGCTCAACGGGATCAACGGCCACGCCAACGGCACGTCTGCCGCCTCTTCTACAGATGATGCTAATGTGTCGTCAACTGGCATTTATTTCTGTGGCAACTCCCTAGGCCCCCAGCCCAAGGCCTTGAGGCGGTACCTCAATGCGCAACTTGAGACATGGGGTTCCATCGGCGTGGGTGGGCATTTCCAGAATCTCGAGACATCACCCCTTGCTTGCTGGCAGGATCTGGCCGAGGACTGTGCGATCAAGAGCGCCGCCATTGTCGGGGCCAAGCCGGAAGAGGTGGTCATAATGAACACTCTGACGGCGAACCTGCACCTACTTATGGCAAGCTTCTACCGGCCGACGGAGAAGAGGCATAAAATCATCTTGGAGTGGCGACCATTTCCCAGTGATTATGTGAGTTTTTTCATTCTCATTATGTGCGCTTTTTACATGGCACTTTGGTCTCGAGGGCTTTACATTTCTCTACTTCGTCTCATGGGCTGCAGGACTGCCAAGATCTCAGGGGCGAATAAATAAGAATGATATCAGACCAGTGTGGGAGGGTACTAACAAGAGTAACAAGTACGCAATCGAGTCCCAAATCCAATGGCACAACCTCGACCCCTCTAAGTCCATGATCACAATCCAGCCTGACGCCAACTTTTACATCTCCACGGACCTCATCCTGCGCACCATCGACGAACACGCTGATGAGACGGCCCTCATCCTCCTCCCCGGCATCCAGTACTACAGTGGCCAGCTCTTTGACATAGAGCGCATCACGGCTCACGCCCAGTCCAAGGGCATCGTCGTCGGCTGGGACCTCGCCCACGCCGCCGGCAACGTCGAGTTGCGCCTGCACGACTGGAACGTCGACTTTGCCGCCTGGTGCACGTACAAGTACCAGAACGCCGGGCCGGGTTCTATCGCCGGCGCATTTGTGCACGAGCGCCACGGCGCCGTGGAGAGGGGAGAATACCCCGAGGGCAAGGCGACGTACCGCCCGCGGCTGTCGGGGTGGTACGGTGGGGACAAGTCGGTGCGGTTCAACATGGATAACAAGTTCTTGCCGACTGCTGGCGCGGGAGGTTATCAGGTCTCGAACCCATCGGCCATTGATCTTGCGTCGCTTTTGGCGGCGCTGTCAGTGTTTGAAAAGACGGACATGGCTACACTAAGGTCTAAGTCGCTTGTATTGACGGCGTATGCTGAGTTGTTGCTAGACGGCATTATAGCGGATAGTCTGTCGGGCGGAGATGGTGAGGAACAGGCGCTGCGCGTCATTACGCCGAGAGACCCATCCGAAAGGGGCACACAGCTCAGCGTCCTGTTGAGGGATGGACTGTTGGACAAGGTGAGCGCGTCGTTGACCGAGGAGGGCATCCTTTGTGACAAGAGGAAGCCGGGTGTCATTCGGGTTGCGCCGGTGCCCATGTATTGCACGTTTGATGATGTATGGAGGTTCATGAACGCTTTAAGGAAAGCATTGGCTTGAAGATACAGGATTAAATGATACGATAGAACCTATAATTTAACACACGATGTTTCATGACTTTGAGGACATGACAATCTAGGTGTTCCGCACATATGCCCTCCGTTCTTTAGGTGGTCCATTGGACACAGTTTGTAGATGATGTGCTCATTTCGGTCTACCTCGAGCCGATCTAGAAGCTACCTGGTCCCCGGGTCACTTACAGTTTACCGTTTCGGGTACTTTTTGAAGAACCATGCCGGGATTTCAAGTATAAAGATTGGAAATAAGTCAAACACCCGGTCCACGCCCCATCCCGTTTTATAAACATTTAATTGATTATTAAGCATAAAAAACGCATAGTACCTAGGTAGGAGGTACCTTACATAACAGCATGATTAAAAAAGAAAACGCCAAGACAGCGCGGAAGCCCCATAATACGCTAGTAGGGGTACGGTGGACCATTATGACATTAGTGCCAAAATCGAGAAAATGGGTGGCACTATGTCTAATAAGGTAATAGTAAGGCAAAAATACAGTGTAAACTCAATTAATATGCGCTGTATACACAATTAATGCCCTTTTTTACCTTATACCACAATAACTTTACGAATATCTATCCGAATATTTTTCGAAAACTATCAATATTTTGATTGAAAAAGGACAAAAATTACCATCCAAATTGCATGTAACTCGACCTAAGATTCGTAGTGTTATTAAAAAGTCTATAAAGCCAGCCAAAAGTCGAATAGCCAATCAGATATAGCCTTTACCTTAGCCTCAAAATACCCGAATTCAATAACAACACTTATACATATTCAAATAACTTTCAAATAACTTTACCACTATACCATTTCAAAAAATATAATTAGTATCATTTTATAGCCTTAATTAATGCGAAAATAATGATATAAGTTGCATGTATACATCTTTTGGCTAACGTATCGTATAGCGTGTTATATCAATATCCAATAAGTCTTATACGGCACGTGACACCCTTTATAACCACCCGTACGCATAATAGCCCTCCCTTTATATTACACATTATCTTTACGAAATAAATCAGGAATATTATAAGACCATTTTACTAATTTTTATAATATTTCAAGTAAAGTAATGGTATTTTTCATAAATTTATATTAATATTACTCGAAAAGTTATCAAATAATATAAAAGTTTTGTATTTTACCTTGTATATACCCCGCATAGTATACTGTGCACTTGATATATTACCCTTTTTGGACAGCCCTGACCTATTTTCTTGATTTTGGCACTAATGTCATAATGGTCCACCGTAAGGGGTGCGGGTTGCAATCTCGCGCCAAAGATAGAAAATATCCTATTTATTTTGAAGTCTTCCGTGCCGGCATCATGGCCTTGTCCGAAATGTGCGAGTTAGCCCGCCTCTGACTAACTCATGGATAGGTACGGATCAGCTCACCAATTAATCAATACTATTTTTCTATAGTTATTTCGCCCTCGCGCTTATCACATAACGCGCATTCCGTATGAAGTATGTGTTAGCTTATTTATAATTCTTGAAAACGGAGGATATCGTGTAATTTTCCATGTAGTCTTTAAATACAACATCTACGCCGCACACTCGCTCCAGTCCAAGTGACGAACTTCGCGAATACTACCTAAGGCTGCTAGTATATATTTTAGCTGAGTATCTTATGAGGCTTAGTATTAATATTACTTGATATCCCTTTTCTTCATCGTAATCAATAGATATTGTTCATAAAACCAACATTGCCACCACCACTGCTACTACTAAATATCCATCAATATCTTATTCTATATCCACATTTAACCACACCAGAATTCTACTTCAGTCAATTACCTGATACTTATCTCATTTCATCACCATGGTCACCCAGAACGTCAACGTAAACCCGGACATAACCATCTTCCGTGGGTTTAAAGACACTGGAAATCATGTATGGTCCCCATACGTAAACAAATTAGAAGCGCGATTGCGCTTCGCGGGCGTACGGTATAATATAGGAGTAGGTTCGCCTAAAACGGCGCCTAGGGGCAAGATACCATACATAGAATGCCCCGATCTATCTACTACTTCCTCATCCGGAAAGGGGGAAGGCTCCCAGCCAAAAGTACAACTCGGCGACTCTACCCTTATTATCAAGACCCTAACAGAGTGGGATATCCTTCCGGATCTAAACAGAGCGCTAGACCCGTCGAAAAGGTTGCAAGACATGGCACTAGTAGCCCTTCTAGAGAACAAGTTATCTTTTTACCAAGTAAGTTTTCTTTGCACCTTAACTTATGTATGACCTATATGAGATATATGATTTACTGACTACGATAGACTTGGGAGCGTTGGATCCAGAATTATTACACCATGAGGGACCATGTTCTGTGGCCGATCCCATATCCGATCCGCGTCGTCGTGGGTTTATTAGCTTATCGTGCCAACGCCGCGATGTTGAATGGTCAAGGTACTGGCCGGTTTACCAATGAGGAAATTGAGCAGTCTATGTATGAGATCTGGGAAGCAATTAATGTGCAACGTGAGTGACTTTTTATAACTTCCACTTATCATCCCATTGATTTTATTGAGACATGGCCGAGGAGTGCCAGATCTTAACTCCGGTTTCATAGCCTATTTAACTACTTATTAAGAAAAAAGATATTAACGTTCATGGCATAGTTATAACATCGCGATCCAGTAGTAAAGGCAGTGACGAAGAGCCATTTTGGATACTAGGCGGAGAAGAACCGACAGAGGCGGATGCGTGTCTGTTTGGCTTCATTGTATCTGCTTGGATATGTACTGCGTGAGTGAACAGTAATTTATCTCCCTGTTCGAGCCTATACTAATCATAATACTTCACTACAGCGGACCCAAATCTCATGACATGATCAAAAGTTTCCCCGTCCTCCTTGACTACGCGGGACGCATTCACGACCGGTATTTCCCGGATTATGAGAAATGGACTGTGTAGTGATGGAAGGAAGCTATTCAAACATAATACTGAAATATCAGGGAATTTATTCCCCTGGAATAGACTTGGAAACTCGAAAGATAAAACCGAAAAGAAATAGAAAATAAAAGATATCTCATATTAAACCTGCAGGCTATGATGTATTATATATATGTACGAAATAAGTATACTTACAGTCTCTACGATCTACGAGTCTTATATTCCCCCATACCCCAAACATATTAGCGGAGTAATCACTACATAACTTGCTTATGTCCGTGAGAGCAAGGCTATAACTTATCTTAGAAGTATACTAATTACTAACTCGTTATACTTGAGAAGGGACACATGGCTTATATATTATAAGTAAACTGAGATATCTTCGCAACACCATAGAATCTAGGTAGAGCCTTTTTAGAGGATCAAGTATATCATCTATCCTAGCCCCTATAGAGGAATGCGGTCTCCAAAGCTTATTTACCATAAGCAGCCACACCACGTTCTCTGCAGTATTTTTCTACTTCCTTCTGCAAGCTTTGATTCTGCCGTTCAACAAGGTCCATGATGTCCCGATGCTCTGGTCCAAGTTCCATAGATCCACTTCGCGCACCGACACTATTGGCAATCTCCGTCATCTCCTCCATGACAGCCTGTAGTTGATTTGGGAGCCAAGTAACGATTGGGCTACCTCCCGTGGCTGTGGGATGCGAGGTCTGCTTGAGAATATACTCGCGGGCAAAACACCAGTGCCGCCACCTGAAGTCTCGAACCTGGTTCAGAGCGTGGAGCCAAAGGCGTCGAGACTCTTTAACTAATTCCAGATCTTCGGTTCCTGTTGATGAGTTGTGTTCGGTACCAATAGCTAGGGCAAAATCTTTTATATGTAGTTCCTCTGAACACTTCTTTACCTCAGCAAGAAACTGGCGGTGATTACTCGGTCGGTAATCCCTGAAATCCTTTAAGATCTCTGTGAGGGGAGTATCCGGCATATCGATCTGAACTATAATCATGAGTCAATAAACGCTCTCCTTTGAAGCATTCGAAGGAACTCGGACGTGTCTTGGGAGCCATAGCTCCCAAGCAAGTCCGGCAAGGGATGTTGAGAATGAAAAAGTATTTTGATGATACATACGAAGGTTATCCATCAGTGGGATCATGGTGTCATTCGCGCCACTCTCACCCCTAAAGCTTAAGGGTTTGCCGTCGTTGACGTCTTCGTAGACAACACCATCGGGAAACATGGACTGAGACGTGATGCCGAATATAAAAGTACGAAAGCTCGTATACGACCGCGGCTTAGATTTCATCCACATGGTTTCCATTACGCCATTAACCTTTCTCATCGCATCTACAACGGTGTGCAAACCTTTATTAAAGGACTTTCTCTGCTGCAGGGATGAAACCCCATCGGCATTATCAAGCGCTCGCAGACATGACATCGTGCCGCTAACTAAGGGGCCCGAGTTCTTTACCATGTCAATATGCACCAGTACGAAGCCAGCCTCGGAAGAGGTAGGGTCCAAACCGTGCTCAAAGGCCCGTATCAGGCGCAAGTTAGAGTACTCAAGACCCGCGTCTGGATTCTGAAGGCGATAGTTAAAAAGGGCATATGAACCCGCATACTCCATGAAGGGTTTGAATCCAGCCCTATGAGGAATTAGTTAACGAATGAAATAATGTGATGAAAACAATAATGACTTACAACTCAGCACAGCGGACAATAGGTCGAGACAGTTGAGCAGGAAGGAAAGATCTCCCTAGTCCATATGGCTCACCCTTGATGAACCTCAAGTGGCATGGCTCTAGAAGAAACGCCGATGCTAAGAATGAGTAGTCACGATAAAGGGCATTCATCATGGGAAGGTTATCGTGGTATTTTTCGATTTGTTCGGTCAGGTCTGGGAGGTCTTTGAGTACGGTATCACCTAGCTGGCCAGTAGCAAGCAGTCCAGGTTTGCCTGACTGAGTTTGGACAGGCATTGCTTGGAGTAGAGTCTCGACTGGTTCAAACTCAGGGGGGAGGGTGACGAGAGGATCCATACGTGCCAGAAAACCCCGAGTCGTTGAGACCATAAAGGCAGGAAGTGAGACATCATCTGGCTTGGTGTCTTCCAAGACCTCGAAAGATGACTTAGGGATTAACATATTGCAATGTTGGAAGAGTGTAGACTTTAAAAATTGTAATAATATATAAAATTTTTGGACTTAAGGGGAGATCTTGAGGTATGAGAAGTTTGACCTTTGACCGGAGTGGCGGTTGATTTCGCGTGCTAATATAGACCGTGGCCGGAACTGTTCCGGCCTCAACGTAAAATTGCGGAGTTGACGATCAAGTAAGTTCCAGGACCTCCGGAACCTTCTCACACCTCCCTGGCCGGAACGATTCCGGCCTCGAGCGAAATCGGATTCTATAGCAAACTCATTCATTGTCCTTACATTTACCTCATGGCCGGAACCTTTCCGGCCAATATGCCCAGACCGAAGTCGGGTTCATACTTACCATATCTTGTAAAACTGATTCAACTGCCGGTTATCTTTATCTCACAAAAACAGGATAGGAATAGTCGAGAAATGAAGCGAACCTCAACAACCGAACCATCATGATTCAACGCGATCCCCACCGCACAACAGCCGTGATCATTTATCAGTGTACATGCCGTGTGACATACGGGATCCCCATTAACCCCTGGCTTATATTCAGATAATATCAGCTTAAGGGTAAGAACTCAACCGTATTTCTTTGAGTAACAGACAAGTTTCCTCTACTACCTTAGGTACCCAGCACTTTCACGTAGTTCAAAATTGTTCATTGTATGATAATAACAGGCTTTGATATGAGCCTCTATAATTTTAGCTAGCAGATATGATTTTTTTAATCTAGTATCGCACAAGCCGTTCTCTCTTCTGGCTAATACTTACCTGGGTGGGTATCAATCAGCACTGATTATAGTAGAAGCGCAACTACCTACTAGTCAAGGCGATATTTTACCCAACAAAGAAGAGGTTGTAAATGCTGATAAGAGTTACGTAATTGAAATTCAGCAAAATGAAGCCTAACTTTATCCCCGGCAGATGATAGGGAAAAGTGGACCCACCAAGCCCGGTAAAAACCGGCCGTGGCCGGAATCATTCCGGCCATTGACATAATCACTACGGAGTTCATTAGCACTTCGAAATAAGACTTTAAAAAAACATTGTTTATTAATTAGGTATATTTCATTGGACTCACCCTGTTGTCTTTAACTCATTTGAAGTCAAGTAAGAACTCTTATCTAAACTAGGGTTTGGTCACCATGCCTTTTAAGCATCAAATTTTACTCTCGAGATAGTAGCGATTAGACAACTCGTTATGTTAGTATAGATAGAATTCATATTAAACATAGCCGCATACTTAGTAACAACATTCTATTTATTATTTGATATTAAATCTTAAGATTGATAAATATCTATAGCATTATTTATACGTTATAGCCTCTACGCAATCTAGTACGACTAGCAAGGAACAACCATTTCACTTCCTGGTATTGTAGGTTTTATTACCAGTAATAGTGCATTAATTGCTACTTAGAGTTGCAGGCTATCCCATCATGCAACATTTATTCTATCATGAACAGATCTAAGCCTATTTCCTACTGGATCGTGGCATATTAGTACTGGTAAAGCATGCTTGGTGAAAATAATCAATGTTACTTGATTTTTCTAGTCATTCTAGGCTAACCCGATCATAGAAAATTATTGCGATGCCACTACTAGCATCCTACAGAACATACGACCCTTCGCTAAAATACCTAGTGTGGTATAGAAAACACTTGGCCTTCCTTCAAAGGGATGGCCCACTTAGTATACACCAATCCGATTCTTTCCAATTTCAGGGGTCGAGCTATAAATCCCTATATTGAATGATCCCATGAACTTCATTTCGGAATTGACCATACGCTACTGGTCAGCACGGCTAACCTTTCCGCGCCTTCTTCCTTTAAAAGTCTCTCGGCTTTCCCTAGTATTAGCGCCTCGATGTTTTCCTTTTCACTTTATTATTCTATTATACCTAAATAGGATCCAGGAAAACTTTGGATTCGGCTTTTCGCCTCATAATGGTTATTTTTTTAATGCCTTGGCGCGTCGCCGCCACGATATTATCCTGTATATCCGTGGTGGGGGCGATTGAATTTCCAGCAACTCTAGACGTAGATATCATATATCCGCGCAATGGCACGTTTGCACCTACCGTACTGACACCCATCATCTTCGCGATTCGGAACCCGCAGCTTGCCGAGCCCCTTGTTCTAAACTTTCAATGGGATATTTATAAAGGAGAAAGTCCCCTAAGCGATGGTCCATTTTCTTTTGGGAGTAAAGATTTACAATGGGTCGATTTTTCTAACATCAGCGACCCTTACTTCGTATATACGTCCACTAATAAGCTCAACTTCGAGGATTCTTGGTGGATACGATGGTCGGTGGCTTGGGGGAACTGCTCTGAGTCTCCTGGCACAATAGATCCCGTTAAAACCAGCTTTAGCTATCGAAACAATGTTGTCGAATTTACTACTAAGAACGGCACGAGACCGCTCGACCTCTCCAGCGTTAATACAGCTGACGATGATACTTGCGGCAATGTCACTGACACACGCGTCACCTTTAATGTGACGGGGGTTTTGGATACTTCTTTTCCATCCAGATACGGTGGCCGAGAGACGTGCGCCGTTCTTGCGTCGTCGTCTAATTCGACGGCCCCACCTCCCACAAGGACTTGCGGGGCCGAGGTAGGTGCTTCGGCCGCGTCTAGTATCTTGGCCGCTATCACTTCCCAGGCATGTGCCGGTTTTGCTACCAATCCGAATGTGGCCTGCCCGACTGAGAGTCCGAGTAGCGCTGCAAGAGGCAAAGGGGCACAATTTCTAGCCGGATCGACGACTTGGTTGAAGACATTAACGTTTGCGCGCATCATGTATAATTTCGTCTTATGAGGTCAACCGTTATTAGTATAGTTATTAGGAACCTTATGTACCAACAATTCCAGGTTATAATCCAGCCTCAGATCTAATCTTAGTTCTAATTTACGAGAAAATGCCTTGTTTACTCTTATTATGTAGCCGCATTGGTATTCATGATTCGTTACAAATATATATGATGTAGAAATATTCAATCATATGAACTTATATCACGTCGCGAGCATATCGTACCATAGGCTTTCCATCAACTACCTATTTATTATATCGTTACATTATTTAATGGCGTTATAGATATTAAAAATACGGCCCATGAGCGATGAAGCCACTGTTAAAACAAGAATACAGGAAAGTCCCCAAAGCTTCCATACTACGGAGGAAAAATACCTCCTCAGTATTGGTTTGTCCCAGTTCGTTATTTACCTAAGGTATCCTGCAGTCAGTGATTCTTCACAAGACAACTTCGTCGTTCCCATATTATTTTCTTCACCTCGCCACAAATACTTTCCGGTAATCTCGAAGATATCAAGGCGTTGCACGTAATAGGAAGTTCTTCCTTATTTAAGTTTGTTAAGCTTGTGTTAACCTTGATACTACATATATGGTTGTAGGCCAAAGTTTACATGACAAAATAAACAGGTACATTAAAATACTTTCATATATTGAATATTACAAATTTCTGTTAAACAATAAATGCTTAATCAAATGAATGATAAAAACATTAAATAAATTTTTTTTTTACAAATATTTAATATGTTTGAATGTCTGGATGGCACGTGACCAAAGGTCACTTGTTAATATTTACAAAAGTACCTAGGTTGTAATCGCCCCAAGAACCTATGTAGCCAGATAGGTTAATTATTCATGATAAATGAGTGTTAGCACGTGACTTCCAATCACGTGTTGCCCACACATTTGGATCATCTTAAATGTTTATAATTTTTAAATAAAAAGGGAAAAAATGAAATCTCTTTTTATCTTATGTTAAATCAATTAAGCATTTATTTCCACCGATATCCCTTTTAAATTTGGGTAGAAAACAGCAAAGGGCAACCCGGCTGTTTGGGTAAAGCCTTCGAGACAATTTCCTGGCAAGCCTCCGGTAAGTGTGGTTCCTGCGAAAATTGGGCTAAAAGTTTCGCAAATCTGGCTTTACAAACAAAGTGCGAACAAAAAGAAAACTACACGGTCTTATTTAAGCTATAGTGGCTGATATCGCTATAAATATAGTGGTAATCCACCTGAATTTAGTGGATAGCCACTATCCAACTTTCAGCTTAACGTGTGGTTAATACGGTATCAGTATAGTTGAAATTTTGGCCATTTTCCAGGGACACTTTATTATGTAATATATGACTAACAAGCTTTATGTATTTAACCGATTAGATTTATTTATACCCATGCAACGCATCTACGTTTTTGATGGTCAGATTTATTTCCATTTTCACCTACCGTACAAGTCTAGGTACCTAGATAACGACCTATGTAGCTAAATGATAAACAGGAACATGGGCCAACAGGAACTCACAGCGGGAACCTACAACTTTAAGCAAAGTTGTAGAAATATTATCGGTTCCAAACTCCCAGCAAGAAATTAAATACTTTTCGGGTCCAGGCACCCGGTATGGAATAATTGATAAATATTTAGGCGGTATGAATTTCTCCTCAACTACCTTTTTGTAGTTAGTTAGTCTCATGGAACGCTAACAACTTTATCTATTAATTAACTATAGGTGGCCTGGGTTATGGCATTGAGAAACATATCCTTGAAGCAATTGACGACTTGGCCATCAATTATTCCCCCAATCATGAAGTTATAATCGTCGGCTACAGCCGTGGCGCTTACATAGCTCGCTGTATTGCTGGCTTTTTGAATCGCCTAGGATTGCCTCAATGCAGGAGAGAGGACATACGTCTTCTATATGACAAATATACATCCGGAAGTCTCCTCAAAAAAGGGGTTGCGGACCGCCTCGTAAGAAGATATAAATGTTAGTCTCATTTCTATTATATGCGAAGCAATAGGGGGTGTAGCTAATAAAGTCACTAAGGTCGTTCGATCACTATAAAATGCCTAATTTGTATTGATACAGTTGGCTCTCTTGGCATTCCACGCACGGGTTTATTCGGGTTATTCAATGTTCTCTCACCAATTATGAAGAAATATGAGTTCTTAGAGACAGACATCGGGCCAAGTGAGATAACAATTCCCAGTTTCAATTAAGTACCTCTAATTTGTGTTCCAGATATCAATAAAGTGTTTCATGCGCTCGCTCTCCACGAATACCGTGGTCCATTCCAACCTACACTAATGCATGTACCCGAGCATAGGCGTGCTTGTCTAAAGCAGGTATATTTCCTTGGGAGTCATCGTGATGTTGGCACACTCTCTGAGGGAGCTTCCCTTGGTGATATTGTACTAGCTTGGATACTCCAACAGCTGCGCGATATCGATATCATCTTTAATCAAGATGAAATCGATACTCAGTTTCCTCGCCCCAGCGCCGAATCTTCTCTTATAAGAACGGAAAGCCATGGCTGGGTGCATTATTCAATTCAAGAATCTTTCACTTATCTGTGGAAGCCATTTGGTAAATACCTTCGACGACCAGGTCGCAGCTGTAGGGATGGATGGGTAACAAATGAAACCGTCCACGCAAGTGTGCGGCTCCACGATGAGGCGCTTAGAGGTACACATCAGTCAATTCCGGGGTATTCAATCGAAAGGAATGAGGATCAGACTTATTCATGGCGCCTAAATAGAAGGTCTGGTATCGATTGCGCTAATGATTCCAACGATCCATTGACTATTGCTGAGGAACCCCTTGGAGATTATGAAGCTTGGTTACACGGCATTGCTCTTGGCTAACATATATAAAATATAAAATCTAGACGAACGGCATATGGATGCTTATATATACCTACTAAACCACTGCCTTTTAACGGTGCGAGGGCGAATAGAATTCAGTCTAGTAAAATAAATTATTTAACATCGCTAGGACTAAACGATTAGTTTAGATCTATATACCCAGTTGTTAGAATACTAAGTTCTGTTTGATTTTATCAGCCTCTATTTACCCTTTTCCAGCTCAGCCTTAACCTCCTCAACGAACCCCTGCTTCCACGCTTCCTCTCCCCTCGTTGGCTTCCAACCCAAGCTCTTAGCTACAGACGCCACAGTCCGTGAGTTGCTCACGACGGCTTTCTCGACAAACTCTTCTGGAACATCGCCACCCATCATATACTTAGTTGCCTCCGTGAGAGTAAGGTTCTCCAACTTGTTGCTTGGGATTTGACCCTCCGCGAAGGCCGCATCAGCTACCCCCTGCGCCACGTCCAGCCACTGGTGTCGGCCGTTGCCGCTGAATATGATACCCTTCTTTCCCGAAGGCACGCCCTCGCCGCCCTTCGCTATTATGCGTTCTAGGACGATTAAGTAGAGGTCCGCTAGATCTTCGACGTGTACGTGATCCCACACGCCCTTGCCGTCTCCTAAAATGATACCCTTCTTGAGTTGCAGAACAGCGCGGACGAATAGGACAACCTGAATGCTTCTCTTATTGAATAGACCGGTTCCGCGACCATATATAGTTCCGCTGTTGATAACTATCGACTTCACGCCTAGTTCTAAAGCCAGATCTACGGCGCCTATCTCTGCGGTGCGTTGGTGGTACGGACCCTCTTTCACCTCACGGTCCTTCTCGTACCCGTAGATATCATCCTTAACATCGTCGAATTCACGACCCTCCGGCTCCAACCACTTTTTCGTAATCGGAGTGTCGCAGAAGTTCGAAGTGCCTGATGTATGAATCAACCATACATCACGCCCTGTCGCCGCCTTGCGCTGAGCAAGGCCGCGGACCACCGCCTGGATAGAAGCGGGGTGGAAGCCAAGGGTGGTGTTAATTACGATATCGTGCTGCGCAGCAGCAGCGATCGTGCCATCGAGGTCATCAATGTCTTTGTATAGGATTGGCTTCACGCGGGAGCCGTAGGTGGATGTAAGCTTAGCAGCACGGTCCGCACCTCGTAGAAGGACGGAAATATTGGCGCCGCTAAGGGCCGGAGACTTCGAGTTGAGGAAGTGGTTTAGGATAGTACCTCCGATAAACCCAGTAGCCCCGGTGAGTAGGATCTGGGGAGTCGTAGAAGATGACATAGTTACTGTGTAAGAGTTGTTCTGTATTTAAATATGAACTTAGTAGATAGGAAGAAGATAGTAGGAGATGAGTGACACGGTAACGAGAATCATAAACTTGGAAGAAGGATTAAGAATATATATAAGTCTGCTGCCCCATTGTTCACTCGGAGAGATTTTATGACAGTGGAATAATACCTACATCACCGATATTTGCGTACATGGCGGATGCAAGTACCGGTGATAACGGACTCGTTGCCGTTGTTTCAGTTTCAGTTGAAGCAATGACGGCAATTTTCCCGCGGGGCCCATTTTAGCTTCCACTACCTATCACTCTCATCATCTTTAGCACTATATTTTCTTATAGGCGGTGCATTATTTAGCTATTTCCCTTGAGAAATGATCTTTAATAACGGAGAATATATTACAAAGCAATATCAGTTCGGAGCATTTTATACAAGGCGGGGTGAATTTAGGCCGAGTCTACCTATTAGTCTAAGCCTTATGGGGAATAATAATCCAGTATAGGAGAACTTATAGGAGAATAATGAGGAAATATCAGGAAAAATAACGACATGGACGACATTAGGAAATAAATAAATTTGATTATAAGTAAGACAACCCTCAAACAAATCATCCAGTGTAGTTTCCTATCTCACGTTCCATGTGGCAAGCCTGGAATAGCCCGTGGTTATATCACCAACTTTTAGAAAGTACCAAAGCCTCAATAATTCACCGGTGAATATTTATTTTCTCATGCTTCTCTAGTCCCCCAACATTTCGGTGAGTTTTTATCCAATGCCACGAGAACATATCCTCAATTCGTCATGTATACGAGATAGCTAAGCTTTATAACTATGACCTACAATAAACACCTGTATAATTGTTCTCCTCATCGAGTATCTTCTCTTCGTTAACCAAGTTGGATTTATTAAATAACTATACTTTAATGTAAAAGACTTATAGTGCAGACTTTTGGCCTGAAAGCTCTCTAACCGGTTCACCTTGTTATACAAACATGCGAATTTCGCATCTTTTTCCGTCGAATAGGTAATCGTTCGTATATATCCACCTATAAAGTGATGAGGATAACAGTTATCCAAACTAGGCGGCGACTGGGTATCAAGGAGTTTAAGAGGAAATAGGAGTTAAGACCCGCTTTTCCCGCTCTAATGCCCGCCCCTGGCAAAATAAAAAATTTACTACTTCTTAATACTTCAACTGACAAGACTTATCTAAGTTAAGAGGCTAGTTAAACGTAGAGAAGATCTACCTTTACACTTTAACTAAGCTGGAAATAAGACTATTTCCGGTTTCTTTCGCTCTACAGTATATTCGAATCTATCTGTACACCCTCGCGATTATCTTCACCACCCCATAAAGTGAAATATACGTAATCCATTCGTATTCGTCGATAGCATCACTAGCGTGCTCAGCCTAGATTTCAAGTGTTAAAACAAGTGGTCAAGGGACTGTCGTTAGATACAGCACGTGATATCCTATTGAGCGTGTGTATAAATCAGGCTTCCGCCTTTAAGAAGAAACTCAGTTATTCAATCAAGCTACTTGCCAGATATCACCTTTACTATATTATATCACCACGGGGTAACTGACAGTAAGGTTTAATGTAAAATCTTACCACGTCACTTGATCTTCCCTCACGCCTATAATTGAACAGCACTTTTACAGCTTATAGGTATATTGGGTTTTTCACTATTAAATTTTTTAAGTTGAGGGGATAGTTTTTAACCATCATTTAAATTAATTCTCATGTCTTTAAAATGAACTCAAACTTAAAACGTTTATCCCTTTAGAAAAACCTTCACTTATATATTATACATGTTCTCACGAAGATTTATCATGCTATACTTTAAGGTAATATTTAGACTACCCATTTAAGTGCTTGAAGAGATGAGTAAGGATCAGAGCGTAACTTTTTGAAAACATACAAATGACAGAGAAGTACTACTTGTAGTCGTTTACTAAATCTTCTCTATATATATGCATTTGTATACAAGGTTCAGATAACAGCTTTTTATAAAGCACTATTGCTATCGCATATAGACCGTATCGTTTTCCGTATGTCAGGCGGTATACTGGCCTTGCTTCAGCTCTCTAATCATCCTTCACGCCATTGCCACATTATGGGTGCTTGAGTGTACGCTACCTTAGATAGTTGCACTCCTACAGGACATTAACAAGTTCATTATTATTATACGGATTGCATCATTATATTATATTTATTTGATCTTTATAAAAAATATCTAAAATTAAGTATTCTCGTGCTATATTCTAGCCATACTGTTACAGCTTTAGACAAATGTCTATGGATAGTTCCTTTAGTATAGCTTATGCGTGTTACGATTTGTACGGGGTATTTATTATGGATGATCGCAAGGCTATCAACAGGCCTTACGGGGCTAATTATATAGGTATGCTACCCTATTTATGCACTCATTTAATAGATAATTAGAACATACTCTCTTGGTCCTGAAATTGCTACTACTATTCTCATACCATACTTTCACTAATGTAATAATCTTGACACAGCACTTACAATACAACCACTATACCAGCCAGCCTTGATGCGCCCTACCACCCGCTATTATCACGGCTGCTCAATACTTCACACGAGCCAGAACAGTATTAATAACCGTGGTATACAAGTTGAGTCTTAGAGACTTAGGTCTTCTTGGATACAACTAGAATCGCAACAGCGTACCTATGGTATCAGATCATTTATCTCGGTTCTGATGCCCTATAAGAAATATAATTGGAGTAATTCATGAAGTAAAAGGGGATTCTTGATTAACCCCTGAGGGAGTGTATATATAGGTTTAATTCGTTAGCCTTGAAGATCTACTTGATAACTCTGTAGTTATCTTCAACAACAAACGCTCCTCCATTAACACATATTTAACTTCCCATGTGAGATTCATATTTCGATCCTATATAGTGGAGTGGAGGGTTCTGATACGCAAACAGGTATCTTTTACTAATAATTTCCCCCCTTCCATTGCAACACTTAGCTATTGTACCAACATTTGATCTATTGAATTATATTCCTCCGTGATCATAGCGGCAGTACAGAAACATGACCTGGGATGGGTCATTGTATCCCTGCTTTCCTCGTCTACCAACCTATTTTCAAACATAAGTCTAGGAAAGTTCAAGCACGTCTTTAATAGCCTAATAACTTCTTCTTGATATTACATATATCAGGAAGAGAAATCCTAAACCTAATAAATACCTTGACGACCCTGTGAGATAAGTTGTTGGTTCTTGTCTGTGCCGCAAATTTTCCTATCAGAGAGTTCAGGGGGCTGGACTTTCTGCTGGTCAAGCCATCTGACCTCACCTCATGAACCCGTTCTAGATCTTTTTATGGCCTGAAGAATTCCATTCCGCCTTTTTGACATATTCAGGCCTTCATACACGAAACCGCCCTTTTTTCCAAACCTAAATATCTTCTCGCGCAAGAACCATACGGAAGAAGTGGAGCTGTAACCCCTGTTAAATCATGAAGCCGCTAGCATCCCTAAATGAGACTTTTTCCCGTACGATATTCGTATGGCAAAACTTTCCGAGCCTCTCATTTTTCTCTTTGTCAAAATTAGCGGTGACAACAAATCTGTGACGGCTATATGTCGTATTGAGGGGTTCTAGAATTCAGGAACGGAGTACGCTCCAGTGGATCGAGTGGTTTGTTGTCCTTGTGTAGGTACATAGTAGTCTCGGCAGTATTGACAGGTCGGGATGGAACGTCGGATGTCGGCCTAGCTGTCTTGTAATTTGCGTGGGCCCTTATCAGCTGTAGCACTCTCAGATTCGCTGGGTTTTCTTTCGTAATATGTTTTCTAAAGGAACTTAAGAGTCGAGCAACTTTCCCATTGTTACTATATTCCCTAAGTCTAGGTACCTTGTATAGATTACCAAGAATAATAGGTAATTCTTAATCTTTATTCATAAAGACTTAACTCCCAGTTTAGTTACAAGTTTAATTGTATTTTAGAAACTTAAACCATGTATAAACCAACGTTACATTTCGTAGAATAAATCAAACTAAAGACTAGTGCCGACAGAGTGTCAAGCAGTAGCGTCTACACTAAGCCCCAGTTTCCGTATTCTATGCCTTACGCCAAGAAATCTTTGCATAATAGATCTTTCAGCTGTATCGAGGGGATAAGCGGTGAGGCTGCAGCTGTGGTTACTCGAGTAATTGATTGGTTGGTCATGTTCAGATGATGAGAAACTTTCCCGTACTCGATGAGCTCTATCGAGATGGTAGCCTATGCTAGATGCTTACCCGGGACAACCGAGACACTTTGAACAAAGAATCCTTATAGAATAATATCATCATCACAATTCGTATTATCACCAATAATACCATCTCAGATAAATTTATAGCTACCTATTCGAAAGAAAATAATGAATCATATTTTCCATCACCTCGCAACATAATACCTACCCTGTAGAAATTCATACCAGCCAGCAAGCTACTATGAGGCGAATTCGGCATATCAGCCGGAACCGGCTCGGGCCTCTTTTTGCGGGGACGGGACCCCAGACGCAGTACCGGTTATTGATTGGATCTGAGATCACGACCCCGACCTCGTGTCAAAGTAATACGAGTATTGGCATTCGTATTGCGATGGAGCAACAGGCCTCTGAAGATAGTCATGACAGCAACGAACCGTACGCGAGGGCATTACCCGACCATTTAGGCGTTACGTCGTAGAAGCGTATATAAGCCAGCTCTTCGTTCGCCTGATCTGCAGTTCTATTCTTGCCTCCTCACCAGCGCCTATCTTGATAATATCTAATCTCCAACAACGATACAATATCCAGATCTTAATCAGTAATTTTTTACTTCACTCCAACCCGCCAAAATGAAGTTCTCCGCTACCATCATGGGCGCTGCCCTCGTCGCCTCCGGCGCCTCTGCCCAGAAGGCCATCGTCAAGAACAACTGCCCTTCGACCGTCTACGTCCAGTCGTACCCCTTCGATGGCAGCGCTGCTGGCGCCTTGACTACCGTTAAGACCGGAGAGTCTTTCTCCGAGGACTTCCGTCCTTCCGGTTCGGTTAGTTTCTCGCCTAATCTTTACTTCTTCGGAATAAAATAAATTAACATTCTATGATACAGACTGTTAAGATCGCCACCACCAAGACCCTCTCTAGCCCGCTGTTCTTCGGATACTCTTTCAGCTCTAACCCCGACTATGCCTACTGTAAGTACACACTCCTGTTACCATATGAATATTAATCTGAAACATTCGCTAACATATCCTTCAGATGAACTCAGCACGTAAGTTTCTCTGGCTATCTAATGGCTACCGCCAGTCATTTACTAACAAATATCCAGTGAATGGGGCAACCCCTTCGCGAACTCGCACAACGTCCTCACCCCCGGCGACGGCTGCGAAATCTTCGACTGTGCCGCTGGCCAGGCTGACTGCTACAGCACGCCCGCCCACAAGAAGGTGTTCGGCTGCCCGCAGCCCGTGGATTTGGAGGCCAATCTCTGCGCTTAAGTTAGCTAGCTAGGGTTTGACGAGTCGAGATCATCTCGGTTGTTTTCCCTCTCAAACCGGATAAATAAGCGAAAGCCCCTCGTCTCTTTCATCTTTGCCTCTTACGTAGAGGCCCCCTCGAAATTAATACATAACTAGCTGTCGTACCTCTTTCAATCAAGGTATCTTTGGAGTACATAAAAGTCTATTCGCTAGCTTTTTCTAGAAATTCAGGGTAGAATATTGGATGAATAAAATATTGATAATATCATGTCAACTTCTCTCGGACCGCCTAGTGATTCTCGATTCTTTTCAAAGCGAAGGTAGGAACGTGACAAGTCTCTGTCAGACTTGTATATTCAAAAATGTAATACCGAGAATAATGTTTGTATATCACAGATGATGGATAGGATACCTCATACTACGGGAAGTTCAATGGTCATTGCGGGTAGTTTCGTCAGACTTGACCCTATGTCAACATCGGGATATCATAAAATGCTTCAAAATTCATTTTCTGTCGAGTGAACGGGTTATTCTCATCCCCTTCTACCCCTTAGTAATATTCTGTTGCTGATATATATTCAGTTCAGGCTACCTCTGTTTCCTGGAGCTGCAGCGAAGTATCTTCGAAGGAAGTCGTTAAAATGTCACACGACATAACTGTCGTGCTTGAGGTATGATGCATGTCACGTAGTACCTAGAATTAGTGAAGTCAAGAGTGGGTAACTTATCCTTGTTTGGGGGATGCGATGAAAGAAATAACTTCTTAACCAATAGGTACAACATACATATTACGTCTTCATTCCCTCGATACTTCGTCAAGGACATGCACTACTTCTAGAATTTGAGACATGCTTAGGTATGCACTCTATTAATTCTGAAGCTTTGGATCAATAGATGGGTACTCATTTCTAGATGAAGAATGACGATGAAATTGAAGGGAAAAAAACCTTGGACAAAGGCTGCTAGTGATATGGTAGTATTAGAGCAATCATCGCTCAATGAAGATATAAGAGCTCCCTTAAACGTTTTAGCTAAATTTTCCCTAATACCTACACTACGTATGAGACGAGAGATCTCAATCTATCCAGCACCAAGCCATCAGGCCATCGTGCTTCGTTCTAGAATGCATGAGAACCCCCCGCTCATATACCGTACCATTTTGTAGCCTTCCTTGCGTGGACCTCAAAAATACAAGCAGGAAAATGCCACGCTCCCATGATGTTCATGAGCCGTCTTCAAATGCACGCCAGTTTCTCAGCCATGATCCCTCCCATTGACACCAATCGGGGCGCTCTAGTTGATGTCAAATAGGGGCTTGAGCTTGATGATGAGTTGCCACTCCTCATTTGACACTTCCTTGCGGTAGAACTCCTTGAGAGTGTCTATACTAGCTCGAGAAATCAAACTGTAGAGGACATCCTTCTCTTCTAGCTGTCGGCCATATGTGGGCTGATGACCACCCATCTCAATCTTGACAGCTACTGAAGGTTGACCCTTCTTACAGACTGGAATCTGTTTGTGATCCCTCTCGATCGAAGTTCTATGAAGTTGTTAGTAAAGTAAGCAAAAAGAAATAACTAGCTATATTTTAGCGTCACTTACACTCTCCCAAGACTTATTATCTCCTTGGCACCAGTTATCGGATTTTGTTTCACGGTAGCAATTGGAGTATTGACCTTGAGGCTACCATCTACCACGTCAACGCCCACGACGATAGGGCTTGTCTTATTGAAGACAGCAACGGTGTTCAGGACACAGGGGAAGACTGCGAGCATCTTGGATTCTTCCTTCTTCTTCTCAAGCTGCTCGTCCATGTGTTTTGTGAAAGCATCAAAGAGATGGTAGATAATATCAGCGGTAAAAACCTTAATGCCATTTTCGTCTGCGTATGCCTGCGCTTCCTTGTCAATCTTCACATCGAAGCAAAGCATAACAGCGTAATCCGGACTCTTCTCAAGCATAGTCGCGCATTGAACGACGTCTCGCTTGAATACAGGTCCGATTCCAACGTTTGCTACTGGAATCTTGCAATCTTTTAAGAAGTCAAGCAAAGCTTCGAGAGAACCCAATGTTGAGGCTTGCACGCTCACACCGCGACCTGTCGTGGCAACACGGCTGAACAGCTTGTTAAGATCCGACTCAACTTCCTCTTCGAGATCTTCCTCGTCGTCATCAGGTCCAACTACGAGTAGTCGCGAACCTGCAATAGCACCCTCAAGACCTGGTGCACTAATCTTCACACCCATGGCTGCTTTAACTTCCTTGTTGTGCACGTATTGAGACTTGACACGCAGTTCCTTCATAACAGCCGGTGTCAATAGTGCACGAATGTTGGTAGTGATGGCGCCCTCTACACCACACACTACTATCCGATCACCTTCTCGAAGGATACCGTTTGACAGGATAACATCAATAGTCATACCAAATCCTTCAATGGCCTTGACTTCGAGAACGGTAGCCTGAACTTCGGATAGATACATTAGCGATCCCACCATCCTCTCTTGGGTTAACTGGATGATCAGCTTCAACATGTCGGGAATACCCTCGCCAGTGTGTGCCGAGGTTGGTACCAGCGATACGAATCGGGCCATCGACTTATTCTCGTAGTAGAGTTCGGCGTTGAAACCTTGCTCAGAAAATGCAAGTTTTGTCTGCTCCAATCGATTCTTGAACTCGTTTTGGACACCCTTGTTCTGAAGTGCCAAACTTTCTTGGAAGCCATTGTTGTCAACCTTCTTCCAGCCGTAAAGACGATCAATTTTGTTGAGCGCAACGATGAAAGGTGTCTTTCGATCCCTGAGTAGTTTCATGGATTCAAGTGTCTGAGGTTCGAGACCATGCATGATGTCAACAACCAGGATGGCGATGTTACAAAGAGAAGATCCTCTGGATCGGAGATTAGAGAAAGATTCGTGACCAGGCGTATCAATAATCAATAGACCAGGAACCTTGAATTCAAATTTCCCATCCGGGTTTACCACGGCCGTCTTCTGTTTGATGGCGTCGACGGGGAAATATGTCGCACCAATCTGTTGAGTAATACCACCAGCTTCGCCTTCTTGGACATTGGTCTGTCTGATCTTGTCCAACAACTTCGTCTTTCCTGTGTCGACGTGTCCCAGAATACAGCAAATAGGAGAACGGAGGTTATCCTTTGATCTGGCAGCTAAGGCGGCTTGATGGGCCTTCTCTCGTCGTTCAGCAGCTTCCTTCTTCCGTTGAGCTTCTGCAGCCTGTGCTGCTGTCTGGACTTCGTCTTCAGATGATTCATCCGAGGATTCGGAATCTTCTGATACAGGTTTGGGTCGGGAAGGTATCGCCTGTCTTTGCCCAGCTTGTGCCGATGCATTATTTTCCCCATCCGATTCAGCATCCCAGCTATCCTTTACGTCCTCGTCAACAGCAGCGGCAGCAGTCTCCCAGTCTTCATCAACATCTTCTTCTTCTTGGGCTGCCTTTTCTTTAGCAGCTTTGGCTACCGCCTTAGCAGCATGTCTAGCTGCCTTTTCTTCGGCTGCCTTTGCTGCAGCTTCGGCCTGCTGTCTCGCACGCTCAGCAGCTTCAGCCAAGGCTTTCTCCTCATCGACCTAGTAGAATGCGGGTTAGGGATTATCGGAGTGGTGGATGGGGAAAGAATATAGTAACTTGAATAAATACCTTTTGGTCGCTCTTCTTGCCACGCTTCTTGTTATCATAGACAACTTTCTTCTTCTTTTCCTCGCCATCTTCAGAAGGGCCGACCTTAATACCAGCAGCAATCATCTGCTGAAGTTTTCTCTCGTTCCGGGCTTTCTCTTCTCTTTGTGCCTTAGTAAGGAACTTGCCTTCCTTTTTCAGCTGTTCGATCCTCTCCTTTTCTTTCTGCTTTTTGCGAGATCTCTCTTCTTCTCTCCGCTTATTTGCTTCAGCTTCTTCCTGCTCGAGTGCCTCTATTCTAGCTTTCTCTTCGATGGCAAGGCGCTCGGCCTCCTCTCGCTGCCGTCGTAGTTCCTCCTGCTGTTTCTGGAGAGCCAATAAATGCGGAGGGAGCTTCTTGCCCTTCTTTCCTCCAGCGTCGGCTTCTGGTACAGGCTCAGGGGTATCCTTCTTCTCTACCACCGCAGGCTTCGCAGGCTCGGCAGCTTTAGGAGCTGGAGCGGGTGTAGTCTTCTTCTTCGCGGCCTAGGGAGCTTGAGTTAGACCATGAAGCGAAGTCATATACTTGAAGCTTTACTCACCTGTTCCCTTTTTCTTTGCTTTTCTCGCTCCTTCTTCAGCTTCTCCTTCTCGGCCTTGGTTAACATTCTTCCACCCTCTCCCACCTCGTCATCATCAGCACCCGCCGCTGCGGATTTCGCCGACTGCTGTTTGTTCTGCTTCCCACCCTTGCCCTTCTTTTCCGGCAATGCGAACTCATCATCCATTGTCGCTTCTTCGGGGGCCTTAACATCAGGCAGGGGCTCGGTAGTAGAGGCATTGCCACCGTCGACGAAATCCTCCGACAGGCCCTTCTTCTTTCTTTTTTCTCTGTTCTTCTTCATCATTGCCATGAGGCCACCTGCCGGTGCATCATCTTCTTCATTATTCTCCTCTGGCGCCGCATCGGCAGAAGTAGTGCCATCTCCATTCGCAGGTGCTATCGACTCGCCTAATTCCGCCTCCCAGTCGTCATCCGCCTTCTTATTTCCCTTCTTCTTGGGTGGCATGTTCGCGGTTGGATGAATTGAGGAGAAATGAATTTAACCGATTATAAATATTGAGCAGAAAATGTATCCGATATATTCAAACGTTGCTCAAGCCTCTTTTCGATCAATGGAGTTGTAAGTGAGGACGTGAGGACGTGAGGATATTAAAGATGTGAGGATGTGTGCACCTCAATATGACTGGAGTTGATTAAAGATGGTGGGGTCGCTGCTGCAAAATAGCGAGGGGTGATTTTTTTTATGTCTGCGGGACCTTAAGGAATAAAAGCGTCAAACTAGCAGAATTAGTTGGAAGGATGCAATTACTAGCGGCAAATGTGAATCCGTTATGCCGTT